TTTGTGCGGTGATGAGATTATAGGTGGATGCAATTCCGAGTCCAAACACTAGTGGCCGTGTGGCGCTAAGGAGCAAAATATTGTGTGAAATCTAACAGAAGAAGATTTGAAACATTCCAAGAAGGGAGAACTTTTCAACCGACATCGGATCTGATGAGAGTCCACGTTATGAGGAGTTTGTTGGTAAGTCACGAATCACTGTTTACTCACAGTTGCCATGTAAGTCAAGTCTGACAATAAGTCCAATGGAAAGCAATGCCGACATTAGTTAAAGGTAATGTTAAAAAGGGCTTGTGAAAAAACGTTAGCCCTTGCTAATCCATGTACTTCTTTTGTAATCTGCATTTCGTGTGTTAATAGTTGGCACTGTCTGATAGAGAACATGAAAAGAAAGGGTCAGATACAGGCGGGAATTCTGCAGTTTTTTCCCAAGAGAGTGAGTGTGTCAGCTGGTGAAAACGAGCATGGAGAAATCAGAGAGAGAGCAGCAGGAGGCAGTAGACCAGAGGCTGGAACAGGGCAAGGGACCTCCATTCCCCCTTTATCAGGTCAGAAAGAATATAATCTTTATTGTGCAACAGTCATGTCAGATAAACACGAGAGACAGCCTCTTGTAGGACATACCATGCTGGGAAATCAGCGTACGTGTAATATAAACGCGCCGTGGCGGCATGGTCTTGCGGGAATTTTGTGGCATTCGTGCTGCCACGGTTGATACTAATATCACCGCAACGCCGGACTTGTGAATGCATATTACAACTTGGCGCAACAGAAGGGGGTATCCTGATCACGTGGGCAGTTACTGCCGAGTTCCGGCCGGCAACTATATTGAAAATGAAAGTAAACATGGGCCGTAAGTTTGGCTTTTCTAAACAGAATCAGCTGAGATGATGGCCGGGGAGCCTCTCCGTAAGAGTTGAAGCTCAGATCACCAGAGACTGCACGGGGACAGACACCTTCTGGAGCGGCTTGTTAAAAAAGCTTAATGAGTGTGGCTTTGATCGCAATAAAAAGCAAGTTATGTCCAAGATAAACTGAAGTCCGTGGCAGCGCAGAGACCGCCCCCAAGCTCCCTTTTCACCGCCATCGCATAATCTTTTGTAAAAAGATCATGATTGCACCACATTATCCAGCAGGACGGACTGACCACTTATAAACGACCTAATGCTGCCCAGTGTGTTCTGCTTATAATTGAGGATAACCTTTTCCCATTTTATCTTGGAGCTGATCCAGTTAATGTGGAGTCATTTTCTTGCACAGAAAATTTGCATTGAGCTTTTTATATTTATCAGTAATAATTGGGTCAGTTATTCCAAGCACCAAAAATAAAGGATTATTGTTTAAATTGATAGAAGTTGTTAATCGTGACAAATCATTAGTGGCAAAGTTGCTTCCCTTTAGTAAATGATTTTACGTTTTTCAAAGCATCTTTCCATTCATCATCAGTAATGTTGCAGTTAAGTTTCCTTTCCCACAATTCCTTCAAGGTTTCCCTAAATTGTGACATTTTGATGTATTGTAAAATGTGTGGGAAAAGTCCTTGTTTGAAACACTGAATTTTCTAATTGGTTGATTAAGTAAGGTCAAGGTTAAGTTTTCCAAAGAGATTTTGTGTTTTGGATATTCCTTTGTTAGTCCAACTTTTCCTGCCATTATTCTAGGTAAAAATAAAAAAAATCACCATTATCTCAAATTTGTTAAATGATGTTATCTTGTACTAATGGCACATATGTTTACTGAATTCTTCCGTTTCATGGTGATGTGGTTTACTATAACATTAACATAATGGATTTAAATTGTATTGGTTTCTTTGTCTACATCTACCACATCTCATCTTTATAGTCCAATCTTTCAAGTCTTCAATTTCAAATAAATAAAAATGTGGTCTCATAGAAAACAAAGTTTTGGCTGGATTTAGCTGGAGTTTGACATATATTTGTATTTTAGCTGCAAACTGGGACAAGACTCTCTCCAATTCAGACAACCAGAGTGAAGTTAATGACTCAACCTTCCATCCTGCTGGGCCACCAGAGTCACCAATCAATGCTAATCCTGCAGGATCAAATGGTAAACATTGATCTTTGAAAGTAATAAATGCTTGTGTATGTATTTGGCTTATGTTAGATAATTTCTCATTTGCTGTTTTCAGACATCTTCCAGTGTGATGCACAGAATCCTGCGCAGACATCAGAACGGTGTTCTGTTCCAGTAGGACCTGGTGGTGTGCTTCTCATTTTGTAAAGGCTCTTTAAATTTAATTGAATTTTGCAGTCAGTCACTTGCAGATTCTGAATGCCATGAATGTTAAAGGTTGAGAGATATAAGCAACTGACTCAGACTTATTTAATTGACTTCCCACCAGACATTTCCCAGTCAAGAGCAGAGGGTCCTGTGATATTCTTCTGGTGTTTTTTCCACACACAAACATATTTTAACCTGATATTTGTGGCTTTGCAAAATAAATTGAATGCTAAAATTTCTCAAATGCTGTGTGTGGTTGTATTTTGTCAATGTACAGTAAACATTGATGTACAATTGCATTAATGTTTTTCAACATGGTGTTGGGGTAAACTGTATCTACCATACAAAACTGGGAATAGTATGCAAGTATGTTGGACTGTACGTGGCCCCTCTATAAATATTGTGGCCCCTTGATGGCCCCACCCTCAGAAAAATCCTAGATCCGCCACTGCCATCACACTGAGACAGATTCGTAATGCAATCCTGCTAGACAATGTAATGTTCCAAAATACGAACTCTATCAGCATCTCCACAATAGACCGGGTATTGAAGAAACATCAGATGACCATGAAACAGATTTACAGGGTACCATTTGAGAGAAACTCTGACAGAGTGAAAGGGCTGCGGTACCAGTATGTGCATTTAAGTCAACTACTGGTTGTCTATCATTGTAATACTATTACAGTAAGACATGGTTACCACTGTTTTCTTGTTTTGCGGTATCCTTTTCACCTTCAGAATGCAGCTTTGTGTGACTAGAGCATTTTGCCAAGAAATTGTTGTCAGTTTCCCACTCCCTGTTTGTACAGTAATTTAGATCCTCCCTGCAGTATCTGTCTCTACTTGACTGATTAGATTTATTTCTATTCTATTGTAGAGAATAATGGCATTAGAAGGCAACAACAGCCCTCACATCCTAGTGTTCGTTGATGAAGCTGGCTTCAACCTGGCCAAAGGTCGAAGGCGTGGCCGTAACATCATTGGCCACCGAGCCACTGTGGATGTCCCAGGCCAGCGAGGGGCAAATATAACAATGTGTGCCGCTATATCAGAAAGAGGCGTGGCCACACACATTCCCAGTTTAGGGCCCTACAATACACAAAAGCTCCTCGATTTTTTTGGACCACCTTTATACTGATCTGATCCCAGAAAATGAGAGGTGTAGAAGGACCTCAGTTACCACATCATGTCATTGTGTGGGATAATGTGAACTTCCACCACGGCCCACGCATCAGAACCTGGTTCACCACCCATCCCCGGATGCTAATGGAGTTTCTTCCACCTTACTCTCCTTTCCTAAATCCAACTGAGGAGTTTTTTTCAGCTTGGAGGTGGAGGGTGTATGAGCATCAGGCTCAAGACCAGAGGGCCCTGCTGCATGCAATGGATGCTGCATGTGAGGACGTCACAGGGGATCAATGTAGGGGATGGTTGAGACATTCACGCCGTTTCTTCCCTCGCTGCATCGCACGAGAAAATATCTGTTGCGATGTGGATGAGAATTTATGGCCTGACAGAGAGCAGCGCGTCGATGGCCAGGAGGATGAGGATGGTGGCCAGGAAAGAGAGGGTGACAATGGCGACAACTGAAAATATTACTGTACTATAGTTCTGAAACCTTATTTACAGTATGGTAGGCTAGAGTTGTTTTTGTTTTGGTTTTTGTTTGTGTTTATAACTGTTCACATTTACAGAATCCTGTATCTGTTTTCTTTTCACAGTATGTTCTCTAATGTTAACATTTCTTTGTACGAATGAAAATGTTTACAGTTTCCTTGAGTATGAGTGGTTAATTGGAGGCCGATTTTACTGTGAAATCTATTGGTTTTATTCATAGTGGTATTCTGTTGCTAGACCTGTGCCTCAGTGACACAACGTCTGAGCATTTTGACTTGCAGTGCTTAAACAATACAAAAGGTATAATGCATTTTGGGGGCATTGACTGTTTATATGGGAAGGATATTTAGTTTTGACACATGGATAAACTCTTTTGGGAGAGATATGAGCTTTTGCAGGGGATTCATGGTCTCGTCGTCTCGTCTTCCTCCGCTTATCCGGGTCCGGGTCGCGGGGGCAGCATCCCAACTAGGGAGCTCCAGGCCGTCCTCTCCCCGGCCTTGTCCACCAGCTCCTCCGGCAGGACCCCAAGGCGTTCCCGGACCAGATTGGAGATGTAACCTCTCCAACGTGTCCTGGGTCGACCCGGGGGCCTTCTGCCGGCAGGACATGCCCGAAACACCTCCCCGGGGAGGCGTCCAGGAGGCATCCTGACCAGATGCCCAAACCACCTCAACTGGCTCCTTTCGATCCGGAGGAGCAGCGGTTTTACTCCGAGTCCCTCCCGAATGTCCGAGCTCCTCACCCTATCTCTAAGGCTGAGCCCGGCCACCCTACGGAGGAAACTCATTTCGGCCGCTTGTATCCGCGATCTCGTTCTTTCGGTCATTACCCAAAGCTCATGACCATAGGTGAGGATTGGGACGTAGATCGACCGGTAAATCGAGAGCCTGGCTTTCTGGCTCAGCTCCCTCTTCCCCACGACAGATCGGCTCAGCGTCCGCATCACTGCAGACGCCGAACCAATCCGCCTGTCGATCTCCCGATCCCTCCTACCCTCACTCGTGAACAAGACCCCGAGATACTTAAACTCCTCCACTTGAGGTAGGACCTCTCCCCCGACCCGGAGGTGGCAAGCCACCCTTTTCCGGTCGAGAACCATGGTCTCAGATTTGGAGGTGCTGATCCTCATCCCTGATTCATGGTGTTGTGCTAAACCATCCAGGTTATTTTGACAAAAGCACTAAATGAATGCACATGTGCCAAGGCAATTGAGAAGGATCTGTGCTATTTTGACTGTACTGAGCTTTTATATGGGAAATAAATCTGCTTTTGAAGCATGGACGAAGAGTTTGTGGAAAGACATTTGATTTTGCCAGTGAGCTATAATGTTGGGCAGCACTGTCAGACTGTTTGGCCAAATGACCTTATGGTTTTGAGAATGTCATCTCGGTTTCAGGAAATGAGCCAAACCAATCGAGAAAAACTGTAATATCAAGCACGCAGGACATAGAAACAATGAGCCAACAAGAGACACAGAACTGAAGGGGTTTAAATACAAGAGGGCTGGGAGCTTGGGTGATTGGAAAACGAGAGGCAGGTGGGAGCAATTAACAGAGACACATGGCTGAACCAAATGGGGAGACAGGACAGGGTGTGACATTAACAATGAAGCTTCTATTATATATAAATATCTAGGATATTATATATTCGATAGAAGTTCATATGCCAACGAGCTTGGTCTAATTTTAATCCAAAGATTAATGTTTAATTTAAGATAATTAAATTTGATAGCAAAAGTTTATTTAATCAGAAGTTAAAGGAATCTTTGCTTTTTCAATAACCAGAAATATACACCATTCTGTGTTTAATTTCAAGAAGAGAGTCAAGTTTTAAAGTTAAGAATTTATTACTAACAATTTTAAACTTTACAATTTGGAACGACAATTCAGAATTGACAATTTAAATGACAATTAAAAATTGACAATTTAAATGACAATTTACCAGCTTTGATATTAAAACTTGTTTTAAAGACAAACCTGTGACTGGATGGAAATCTAAAATGAAATGAGAGCTTGGATGCGTGGATGGATTCTCTGAAGGTTTCTTTCAGAGAGAGAAGCTCGTTCTGGGTGAAATGATGGTTTTGCAGCTAACTGTTGTTACTTAGAGAAACAGCATCAGACGTCATCTGTCGAAAGTGTCTACCTCACCCAGTTTCAGGAGACCCCCTTCTGGATCCGAGATGTCAGGTGGAGATGATTTCCTCCGGGCACGAGGCTGGTAGAAGGACCTCAATGCGACCAAATCAGTCCTGGGATGTCTCCGTGGGTCACACGACTGATGAAACTATTTGCGTCTCAAAATCAATAACTCTGAAGGAGTTTTGCGTCAGCTGGTTATCGTGCGTTTATTTAAAGCTATTCTATCAGCATGACACACAGGTGGAGATTCGGGGGGCTTCCCTCGTCTCCTGTGATGGTGGTTGGTTCACAAACTGAACTTTTGCTGCTGGAAATTTAGTTTTAACAAACTCCTCAGAACACGCCCACTCTCAGAGCAAGAAAGCTTTGGTCATGAGTGGAAGACGTGATGGCAGATTACCTTTTACTCTGGATAAGCTCTGTGTTAGATGGATAAAGTGGAAGTTGACCTTCTAGTTTACTGAACACACATAACCGAATATCAACCATAATCATAATTATACCCAAAGCATAATAATTCATTACTTTTACTGAAACAAGTGATTATTTATGATGATTGTAATAAACAGTAATAAAGTCAAAGAGTTTATTAAAAATATTATTTAAATTATTATTGTGAAACTTGAAGTGTCCTTCTTCTGGGACGGAATAGCAGCAGATGAGGATGATATTCAGCCGACATCATGGCTCCTCGCTTGTTTAATCTGTGGGGCAAAGTTACAGTCGACCCAGCTTTGACCTAGCTGGGAAAATGTGACCTTTGTCACAAATAAGAGGACCTTTGTGATGCTACACACTCAAACATTAAGTCTTGCAAGCAGAAACTCAAATTACAGTCAGTAAAACAACCTACAATTAATAAAGTATAAAATAAAATAAAACAATACTAAAAAATCTAAACAGTCTTCTTCTGACAGGAACTCTTCAGTAAGTTTATGCATCACACAAAACATTTCAAACTTGGTCTGCATTTGCTGCCTTGGACTCAGTTTTCCTAGAAACTGTACAACCATTCTGTCAGGTACTGGGTTTGTGGGTTCACATTTCCTCTTCACAGGTTGTTGGAGGGCTAGGGAGACTCATAAGGAGACTCCATCCAGCTAATTACCTCGGCTGCAGAGTCACCCTTCTCACCTGCAGCCCATCATGTAATTAGACGGGAGGAATAAAGGAGCCAGTGAACCAGCCACTCAGCGCCAGATTGTTTGCCTTAGTGGTAACGTCCAGCCACCTGAATCTGTTCCTGTTTTATTCTAGTCTGTTCCCTGAAACCTCTGTCTGTCATCACAGGATTCCTAGAACCCGTTCTGGATTACACCTTTGTGTGGAAGTCTCATACCAGCCTCTGCAGCTCCCGGATCTCCTGAACCACGGCTGAATCCTCCCTGGCTCTGTTCTCCTCCCGTGCGTCTCCTGTTCACCCTCCAACAACCTGCCTCACTTCTCCGAACCTCCACATCTACCCACAGCCCCGGTACCGGCTCACCTCTCCCACGCTCCGCTACAACCAAATCTCAGTAAGAACTCTCCCCACTATCTACATAAATATCTCCCCATCCCGATCATCATTTCATGTGTTATTTCTTCCAGTGATCCAATCTCTAGCTCCGGAACCAGCCCATCCCTGCCAGCCTCCGCTCACCTCTAATAAACTATTTTTTACTACATCTCCTGGTCTCTTGAGAGTCATCTTGTATGTGGGTCAAATATCTAAAGAAAAAACCATGACACATTCGGCCAAAAGGACAATTTTCATCCTTTTTTCCCTCTTCTTCCTTCCTCCTGGCGGTTCTTTTTGGTACCGGAGTGGAAGATTCTGGCTCGACACAAAAAGAGGCAGCTGAATCCAAGCCCGGTTCGGAGAGCTCCTCGTAGTCTGGTTCTGGGCTTAAATGAGGAGAGGGTTCTATTTCAGTGACGGGGCTGTCAGCAAGATGCTCTGCTCTGCAGAGCTGTTCTACCCAAAATGCAGAAAAACTATTTTAAGGCAATAGTTATGAGCAAATCACCATGGAAACAGAAACTCTAAAGAACCTGTATTTACCATGTATAACAGTTTACATTACCTCTGCAGGGATGTTTGACTGTTTAGACTGAAGTTTAATACCAGTAGACAACCAGGCCATCTTGGAAGTTAGCGAGGGCCTCCGAACGCCTCCAGCATCCTTGCTCCTCCCCTCTTTTGTTGCTTTGTCTTGCAGACTATTCCATTTCTGCCTGCAGGTGACCACCTCTCTGCCCATGATTCAGGAGATTTCCTTCAATGAATCTGCAGCAAATTGCATATTTTTGTCATTTTTTAGAGATGATTGTATAGCTGCACATATTTTGGGACCTTCTCACACAATCTCTCATCAGACTCTGACTCCAGCCTTTCTTTGTGGGAGGACAAACTATGTTTGTTCTGGCTGTAATGTCTTCCTTTTGACCTGAAAATGCAGGTTCTGCAGCATGCCAGGTGACCCTGGAGGACAGATAACATAATAAATTGTAATGCATGGTTGGAACAGTTGAGAAAAGCATGAAAGATTACACATCAACACAATCTGTAAAATCCAGATTTCCAAAGATGGAACTTGTCATATTTTTAATTAAGCATGCATGATAGAGCAGTTGTAAGGACATTTTATATCACAATGTGCAATAATAAAAAGCACTAAAATGTGCATAATAAAATGTTTTTGCTGTACATCAGGCTTGTTAAAATTGCTTACAGGCTGAAAGCATCCATCTCTTCTTCTGTGTTGGTGCGCTCTGCAGGATCAGGTGAGTGGCACTCTGCAGCTTCAGATGTTTACCCTGACGTATGTCTCTGATGAATGAGAAAACAAGGAAGAGTACACTGAAAAATGTACTTTAACATGTGAATTTGAAATAAAAGTTGATGTTTAACAAGATTTAACCTGATGAGAAGAGATCAAAGTCTGCATCTGTGAAATGGTCGCTGCACAGCTGTGCCTATTTGGAAGGCAGTCTGTCCCCTCTCTGGCAGGCTTTCGCCCACTGGTAAAACCGGCAATCAATGGAACAAGAGCAATGGAGCAACACTAACAACCAATTAGCTCAGGAGGTAGAGCGGGTTGTCCAGTAATCGGAAAGTTGTAGGATCAATTCCAGCTTTTGGCAGATAATTCTGCTGTTGTGTCCTTGAGCAAGACACTCTCAGCCTTCTGGTGGTGGTCAGAAGGACTTGTGGTGCCACTGCTCGGCAGCCTCGCCTGTCAGAGCCGCGGGGAAGCTGCGGCTACAATGTAGTTCATCACCACCAGCATGTGAACTTGTGCATGGATGAATGAATGAATGATGCACTGTAGCGTAAAGCGCTCTGGAGTCCTCTGACTCTGAAAGGCGTTATACAAGTGCAGGTCATTTATCATTTAAAATAAACTCATGATTACTACTCAAGTTTACTGTAATAATTATGATTCTAAAAATAAGCATTTGTTACTGTTTTTACATTTGGTTCCATTTCTGAAGATAATCTCAGACCCCACATTTGGCGTTTCATGACCCACTATGTGTATGTGTGTGCTGGTGGGGGACAGCTAAGGAGTTTTTAGCATCACGTGATCTACAGCTGTAAACTACACTGTAACTGCAACACTGATATTTTATATAAGGATGACAAGTGTTACTGACACTCAAATATGCAGTACTGGGTGTTTTGTGCCAACTGCAGTCTTTCCCCTTAGCATTTAGCTAAAACACAATGAAAATTGTATTTATGTATTTTTGTTTCTATTGTATTTATGTAACAGTGTTAAACACATCGACATATATTACAATGGTTATGTGGAGTCGTGCTAAATCCAGCTAGCTACAGTGCGACATACGAACTTATGAATGAGTGAAATTTGCGCCCTCCCGTGGTAACAGCTGGAACTACACTTTGGTTATGTTACCATTTAGAAGAAAAGGCCAAAAAAAAATAAATAAATAAAAAATGAATTAGCACAACCATGTGGCAGAACTATGCAACTACACGATGGTTTTGTAAACCATTTAGAAGAGGAGAGAAGCTGAGAATTTACACATTTTTTCCAAGAAAAATTACTTTAAGAATTCTGTCATAAAAATCTTTAATTCATGAGATGTCAACACAGAAAATCAGACATGTTTTGACAAACAAAAGGACTGGTATAAAACAACAATAAACCTTGATTTATCTGTCAGGTAAAGAAGGTGTTTACTTTGCAATTAAGAAAAAAATAAAATCATGATAATCATACAAACACAATACTACAATCATTTTAATAGACGTTAAACGTTGTGCAATCATTTCCACACAAAGTCGGTTAATAAAAAACATTTACCATCTTAATTTTTACATGGAAGACTTTTTATAGGCAGATATTTTACATTTGTGTGAATCGATCGTCATCTGAGAATGTTGTGTTATAAACACCCTCACTTGTGGAGCCGTTTTCGACTGTTTTCGCCTCCAGTTCCTCAATGTCTTCATCCCCTTCTTCTGCTTTCTGTTGTTTTTTCCTGAATTAACAAAAAGCTCAAGTTCAGCCATCAGGTCCAATCACAACAACAGCCCTAATTATTATCTCCCACCCACCGTCTCTTCTGGACAATGGTGGACGTGAGCAGGAAGACGATGCCAGCACCAATCAGACCGATTACCACCCCAAACACGATGAGCCACGGAGGGGTGTCGGGCACCACAGGTGCTGCCAGGGTGGGATAGATGTTCACAAACTCCAGGGTGGTGTCAGATAGCAGGAATGCTCCGTTAATACGATGTCTGAATTTACTTTAAGACAAAAAAGGAATATTATGTACCATTTGTTTATTTACTGGGATTCTTATAGGTTTCCCTGTCAGTATCTTTTTTCAAATTTTCAATTTTTTTAATTTTTAACATTTTAAATGAAATTATCAACATTAAAATTGAAATTGCATAAATGTTACGCATCCTATATCATACCCACAGATTTCATCTCAATGGAAAGATTGATATAGTTGATAAGTAATGTGATTACCTCACAGCCTTCTCTATGTCTTTTCTCTCAACAAGAACCGACGGGTTGAGCGGTGACGTCACCACAAACCAAAAGGACACCCGGACTGTCTCGTTACACAAAATAATGTCTGACAAGCTGCACAAAGTCCAAGAGACAACAAAGACCACATTATCTTCATGAAAAACAGCTCAGTCATTTCATCGTGACAAATAAAACACAAAAACAGAAACAAACAGGAGTTTTCTTACCTAAACTCTTGCTCCTTGTGTTTTCTCATGGCAAAAGCCATAGCTGCTCGAAACAGGAACTTTTCATGTTCGTTCCACTCATACTGCAACATAAACCAGAGCAGTTCAGGGGTTGTTATGAGATTCTATGGAGATGTTTTTGGCACATTCAGATCCTCATACAGCATTGAAAATCATGCATGACCTTGACTGTGTTCTCAGATGATAACATGGATTTAAAGAAATACTCTAGGAAATTATTAAAGTTTTGTGTTTAACTGTAATGTGGGAAGATTTGATTAAAACAACGAAGCAGCAAACTGAGGACCATACAGAATTCATCAGAGACAAATTCATCAAACTTCCTACTTAAACACTTTACTTCCTGGTTTATGTCATGCTGGCTTTAGACCAAAGCAGATGGTTTCTTTCCAGATGGATGCGTCTTCTGCAATTAGGTCACAGATTTTTATTGGACTACATAAAATGCGTAATTGCTCTGTATTCTACGTCCACTTTGCTCGACTTTTCTGAATAACAGCATAAAAAACAGATGTTTTGGCATGTTCCATTTCCTAAACAAGCAACTTTACCCAAATCGTCATTTAAATTGGAGTATAATAAGAAATAAATGACAGATGCGTCTTAAAGTTGGTTTTAACAGAACAAGAAACAAACACAACAGAACTTGATCAGGAACAAACGGTGCTGATGTTGCAGTTTTTTCATCCTGTTAGATATCAGGTATTTGCAAGTCAACAGACTCAAGTCCAAATAAAGTCACGAGTCATTGCTGTTAAAGTCAGTCAAGTCTAAAGTCATTTAAACTATAACTGAAGTTCTGATAAGGTGTTTCAGCTGAGATGTGGGTTGCACCTGGACATTTGACTGACTTACCACAGTAACAGAGAAACAGACAACTGTGCACACACATCTAAAAGTGATCAAATTGCAATTCCAATTTGCTCAAACCATTATATTTTCTTTAAACTTTGAATTATTAAGTATGTTTTAATCAAGTTGTAGAAATCCTTCAATAATTTATTTTAATTTCAGACAGCTAAATAAATAAATAGATAAATGCAGCAAAAACATTGTATTTAGCTACTATTTATGCTATAAGTGATATTGAGTTTTATCCTTACAGCTTTTTCTCCCAGAGCAGTTTTGATGCTGAGTCGAACCTGGCAGGCTTCAGGAGCATCTAAAAGACAAAACATATGACATATTCTCAATATGTTCTGGATCTGTGTCTCAGATAGCACTGAAAACATAAAACACAATATAATGTTCATTTTAAATGGGGAGCGGCTTGTAAAATAATAAAAACTTTAAATACGTTTAAATATATGAATTAGCTACATTTTGTCACATTTAGAGCCTAATGAAAATAAAAAACAATAAAATATGGAATAAATGTAGTCAATTTTTAAAGTCACCTTTTACTCAATTTCTTTACATTTCCAAATAATATGTAAAGTAAATACTTAGAATCAAAGATAAAAATGTATTTAACTCTTTATATTAAGAACAAAGTTTGAAAATGTAACGTAACATGCTACTGTATGTAACATTGCTGTCTAACTATAAATTTGGGAGTTTTTAACAAAAAAATACGCAGTAAACAAATTTAGGTTTGGAACAATAGAAATAGCCTACCAAAATAAAAACAAAGTAGGGATCGCAAACAGAAAATTTCAGAGTTCCCTTTGATGTTTACATTGTATCAGTATCTTGCCTTAGATAAAATTTTAAATGTTTCACTTTGATTCAACATTTTTAGATTTACCATAATATGGCTCAGTGTTTACATTTTGATTTATACATTTAAAATTTATTTTTATATATTATACATCTTGTATATTACACACGTTTAAATATTTGGAATTAACCTAATATATTTGGAATTTATTAAATTATAAGACGTAGTCTAAACATTTACCTCAAAACTTTAATGCATATATGTCAGTGCAAATCTATCTATCTATCTATCTATCTATCTATCTATCTGTCTGTCTGTCTGTCTGTCTGTCTGTCTGTCTGTCTGTCTGTCTGTCTGTCTCTCTATCTATCTATCTATCTATCTATCTATCTATCTATCTATCTATCTATCTATCTATCTATCTATCTATCTATCTATCTATCTATCTATCTATCTATCTATCTATCTATCTATCTATCTATCTATCTATCTATCTATCTATCTATCTATCTATCTATCTATCTACCTATCATCTCTTATTCTTAAAATTTAATACTTTTTAACATTACGTTTTAAATTATATTTAGTTTTCAATTTAGGAATTTGTTTCCAAATTAATAATTTGAAGCTAAATCTGGTCAAATAAAGCATTTTTGAAATGTAAGTATTTTGAACGTAGTAGAATCAGCACCCCATACATCCAGCTTTTCAGTCTGGTCCTTGAATATTGTGTTTGACTGTTCTGAGTTATGTGCCTAATCTGATTGTGTTCTACTAGAAAGATTAGCTGAATTCTATTCTGACCATAGAGACAAGAAACCTGCACTTGTTCAGAGAATAAAAGTAGAAATGACAAAAAAATAAATAAAGAAATGCGAAGGGAAGAATGTTTAACTAGAAGTTACATTTCAACAGTTCACTTACTTGGTATACAGAGCTGTGCTGCCAGAGCAGATGGCAAACAGATGACAAGAAAACAGATGACTAGAAAAATCCTTTTCAGCATTTTATCTTCATAAAAGGATGAAAAATGGGCCAAAGTTGCCAAAAGTCAAACAGAACTCAGATTTTTGTGTTTTTAGGAGGTCAGCAGATGAACGCCAGATGAAGTTTTGGTGCAGTAGTAATCCAGGACACACCTGAACTCAGCCGTCCTACTTTTAAGGAAGTGGCAGAATGTACTACATGGATACTGTGAAGTAGGCTACAGTTTCTGTGCTGCTGTTTGTTCAGAGAGGTCTGTTAATGGGAAAGAGGCCAACCCATCAGGAGAAAGACAACCTGTTTACGAGCAGCACAGAGTGCATCACATGACGCTTCAGATGTTTTTATATGAAGTAGCAACATTCTCTGTTCTGAAACACATTTTGTATCAAAGAAAACTTTCTGGAAAAGAGCTTAAAATAATCAGCTTATCAGTTACAATATGAACAACTGCATTTTTGTGAGGTAACTCTGTGGTTTGGCATACAAAATAACACCACACAAAGCATTTTTGTGTGAGTGACAAAATGTTCTGTTTCTTCTAGCTGTTTGATGTTGATTGATTCAATCCAAAATTAAAGTTCAGATTCAACACAAACACACACACATACACACACACGCACGCACACACGCACACGCACACACACACACACACACACACACACACACACACACACACACACACACACACACACACACAAACCAACCTTCAACAGGCAGCAGAAAATCTGGGTGAATCATTACATTTCTTAGACACACTGTACTTAAAGGTAAAGGTTAATCATCCATTTTTATTGTAATAGTAGAGTTCTGGTTAATTTTTCTACCACTTGATCCTTCATGCTGGTGTACTTGTTCCTGTATGTGCTCAGTCCAGTTTATTATCAAACCCTCGTTATTCATTGTTGCTTTCATCTTTGCTCTGACAAATTTTAGGTGTTGTAAATGAAGATAACCAAAATGAGTGTAGTCACAATGACAAAACTGCACCTGCTCAAACACGGGCCACAACCCCGGGGACCAGGGTTAAAATGGTTAAATTACAATAAGGGCTGAGAAAAGGACGTTAGATTTTCTGTATTGTGCCTAATATTTGAAGTAAAATCCCACGTTCTTATTTATATTTTAGATTAAAGTAAATATAAATTTTATTCTAAATATTTGAATTTTACAATGCTTCATTTTTTATTTCTTTAATTTAAATGTTTTTTAAATGCTTATATAATTTACTTAAGATTTCACTGTAAAACATTTTATCAAACAAGATATATGTACATTTAATAATTAATTTTAATTTTCACTGTAAATTAAATGTGGTTATAGTTGTTAATTGTTAAATGTTTCATATGTTTAGCTGGTGCTTGTCAAAGGCGCTAAGTGACTTTCAAAATTACAATTAATAATTTAGTATATATTAAATTAGATATAATTATGTACTAGTACAACAATATCAACTTTAACTAATAAAGTTTTAGTTCTGTAGTGGGAAACATAGCCTAGTGAACTAGCCAAATTCGTGCCTCGCAAGTTTTCTTTTTTGCCAGCATAAATATATTCACATAAATAGGATGGCTTGCCAGGCTATTGGGAAACACGCTCTGGTTTTCACTTTATCTGTGCTCTGCGTGCTCTGTCGTCCCCATCAGGCTCACACTGATCGTGCAACAATGAGCGCTTTGGTACTGAATTAAGATTTGTGGAAATAATACATTTATTTGCAGACCATGGTATATTTATTCCTATTCTGGGTTTTTGTTGTTTAATCAAATATTTCTGTTCTGCTTCTTTTTTGGCAGCAACCACAGCCGTGAAGCACTGACCAAGATGGCGGCTCTTATTATCGTCTCGCAAGCTCGCAAGCTAGATGGCGCTGTGGTTGGGTTCGACAAATATATGTTCTTTTTGGCGTCACTATTCCTCTGTTTACATTATTTAGATTTAATATATCGCAACAAAATATTTTACTTTATTATTATTTTAATAAAACTCATTTGTATGCTGAGAAGTGAAACTTTCACTGTGAAAGCAGAAGTGGACCTTACGGTTGCTTAGCAACATTTTAAAAATGGCGGAGAACCGACAACATACAGGTTCGTCAGATTGAGTTTGTCGTTAGTTTTGCCCAAATTGTCATAACCTGCTACTGAAAGGCGTACAAATAATGTGTTTAACGCTACTTATTTATTTAGTGGGTTTATTTTTTTCAGAAACTGTGTCCGATATTCACAAAAAGATCACAACAGCGTTTAAACTATTTGACTATGATGCAAACAACACGGTGGATGCCAGGTGAGTGAAAAAAAACAAACAAACAAAAAACACTGATGACTTTTAAACAACTACTAAAATCTTGGAAAATGTGACAACAAAGTTGATTAACAGTGATTTCTCCTTGTGTTTTACATTACTTTCTCATTTTTATTATTATAAATGGAGGTGAAAACGTCATCTGATTTTAAATGTAATGTACTAGAGGTTGATTATTATATGAATAAAGTGTTTCTGAGGTAAATATTAATTTTATTAACATCATGTTTGTTTTCTAGAGAGATCAGCACCATTGTCTTTTCACTGGGTTGCTTCCCCTCTCAGGCAGACCTACATCAGATCATAGCTGAGGTTAGTGCAGTGAACATGCTTTATGGAGGGTTTGTAATGGAAATAAAAACAGCCAAGGAATATATGAAACTGTTTGTGTGAAAACAAACAATTTTATTATAATGCCACTTTAGCAAATAGTCATAAAAAGTTGATTAAAACTAAAGTCTTGTGTCCAGGATCCTGGACTTGTGGTGTGTGTGGTTTGTGTTAAAGTTTTAAACTGTTTTTAATGGTAAAAAGAGTAAGTTTGCTGTTTCCAAAGGTGGAGGAGGGTAGTTCAGGATATGTCCATTTGGATACGTTCCTGCCAGTCATGACCAAAGTATTGTTGGAACACAGGTAAGATTGTTAGTCTTGACTTTTGCAAATATATATTTTTTTCACAAGTTAGTTTTCTGTAGGTAATCCAGTTTTCATAATCAGAGTCTGAAGGTTTTTTAGCCATACATGCGAGAAATCACAACATTAGGAAATTGCTCCAGTACTTGATGCAAAAAATAAATAAATAAATAAATAAATAAATAAATAAGAGATAAGCAAGTATAAGAAGTAAGAATATAATAGCAGAGGGGAAGAAACTATTCTTGTGGCGGGAGGTTCCGGTCCGAATGGATTGGAGCCTCCTTCTAGATGGGAAAGTCAAAAAGACTCTGTGTCCATGGTGACATGGGTCAGCTGTTATCTGAACTACACGCCTCAATGACCTGGAGGTGTACAGGTCCTGTACGGAGGGGAGTTTGCAGCCAATGACCTTCTCAGCAGAGCGTACCACACGCTGCAGCTTCTTCTAGTCCCTAGTCCCTGGTGGTAGCTCCAGCATACAACAAAGTAATTGAGGAGGTGAGGATGGACTGGATGATTGCGGTGTAGAACTGTCTCATCAACTCTACTGGCAGGTTGAATTTCTTCTGCTGCCTCAGGAAGTACATCCTCTGCTGGACCATATTTATGACAACGGTGACGGTGGCCTACCACTTGAGGTCCTGAGTGATGGTGGTGCCTAGGAAGCGACATGAGTCCACCATCGTGGTGGAAGTTTCAGACAGGGTTACAACAGTCCACAGCAACCTCTGCTGTCTTCTGTGCATTTAGCACCAGGTTGTTGTGGCCGCACCAGGACATCAGTTGTTTGACCTCCATTCTGTAGGCAGAATCATCCCTGTCAGAGATGAGTCTGATGACAGTGGTTTCGTCTGCAAACTTGATAAGCTTGACAAACTCGTGGTTGGAGGTGAAGCTACTGGTGTACAGCAGGGGTGGGGAACCCTGGCCCATTGAGGGCAGCTATCCAGCATATTTTAGCTATAACCCTGCTTCAACACACCTGATTTCAATCAGCAGGTGATTATCAGGCTTCTGCAGAGCCTGATGAGCTGCTGAATCAGAAGTGTTGGAGCAAAGACATACAGGAGACCGGCCCTCGAGGACCAGGGTTCCCCACGCCTGGTGTACAGGGAGAAGACCAGAGGGGAGAGAACACAGCCCTGAGGGGAACCGGTGCTGATGATCCGCAGGTCTGAGTTATTCTTCCCCAGCCTGATTTGTTGCTTCCTGTCTGTCAGGAAGTCAGTGATCCACCTGCAGATGGGGTCAGGCACGTTCATCTGGGACAGTTTGTCTTGGAGAAGGTCTGGCAGGATTGTGTTGAAGGCAGAGCTGAAGTCCACAAACAATATCCTGGCATAGGTACCTGGGGAGTCCAGATGCTGCAGGATGAAGTGTAGAGCCATGTTGATGGCATCATCTACAGACCTGTTGGCTCTGTAGGCAAACTGTTGGGCTCCAGGAGGGGGGCTGTGAGGGTCTTGAGGTGCGGGAGAACCAGGTGCTCAAATGACTACAGAGTCACAGGTCTGTAGTCCAATGAGCCTTGGCTTCTTGGGGACAGGGACTATGGTGGAGATCTTGAAGCAGGCAGGCACATGAGATGCCTCCAGTGAGGAGTTGAAAATGCCCGTAAACACTGGGGCCAGCTCTTCAGCACAGTGCTTTAGAGTGGCAGGAGATACACCGTCAGGGCCTAGGGCTTTTTGTGCATTTAGTCTTGAATTGCTTCCTCACATCTGCCTCATGGATGTGTAGGGTTGTGGTGGAGGTGTGTGATGTGAGGACCTCCTGGGTGGGGAGTGAGGAGGAGGGTGCTGGGGTAAATTCCACAGTTATGGTGATGGCTCTGGAGTGGGGGTTTCTTGGATGGCTGGCCTTAACCCCAGACATAAACAGATGCTATGATGGTTCCACTGATCAAGTCAACATTAACTGCTTCATTACTAATTGCGCACAGATGCTACCAAACACAAAGTTCAGCTTTGTTGTGGCCACACCAGGCCATTATTATATTATATATATATAATAAAATAAATTGTGAATTTTTCTGACCAAAGTGATGGAATCCACGATGGTTTTCTACCTATTCTTCAGTCTTAACATCTGCAGAAAAGCTTTTGTTCTTTTGAAAAACCTTAAGAAACAGGTCGAACTACTCAGAATCTTTTAATAGAACAAGACAGTCTCACCTGACTTTCACTCTACTTTCCATAATTACCAGTCTCAAAGGCTGCTTTGACCGTAACTAGACTTGAGACAAGAATTTGTTTCAGGTCGCATTTATCAAAAACCTAAAATATTTTCTAATGGAGTGTAACATCCAGAAATGGTCAATTTTCACCTACATATTGCCCCACACAATGTCCGGTCACCTACAGACCCAATTCCACTATCTGAGTGGGGTTTCTATCCTGTCTTCTAAAGCCCAGAAGATTCTGCAGCCCATGTTGACATTTCAGGGGGAACAAGATGTCAGCCTTTGTTCCCAAACGAAGCCTTCTTTTGACAAGACCGCAGGATTGCACACTCATGAAAGAAGAACTTTTACAACTCATAAGTTAAATAATCATGAAATAATAATATGGTTGAATGAACAAATGTTATATGAATACTAATGAAATGTTTTGATTAATCTGTGCTTAAATTACTGAAGTGAAATGAATATTATTATTACATTAAAAGATTAAGAAGGATGAAATGAAATATGACCCATATATTTAATCAGCACACTGACTGGACCAGACAAACTCACCATATCTCAATGAATTAAGTTATAATCAACGTCACTGCACATAGATATTTTCTTATCCACAAAATCAGCATCTTCATATCTGAGGGAGGTGTGTATCTGAGTTTGTTGGCAAAACCCCTTTACAGGGCAAGTTCTGATTGTATCAGTAAACCAAGATATGGCCATTATTTAAGCAGCATCACTTCCTGAGGGATTCAGTGGAGCCTAACTCTGACTGGTCATCGGAGAGAAACTCTTCTCCCATTGCATCTTTGACAAGCTGTCAAAAACCTGTTGCATGCTACAGCTGATACCGCAAACGGTTCCTTCAGAATAAAGCTGAACAAACCTCAACTCCTTAAGAGTTATTCCTAAGACGCAAATAACAACTGTCGTGACCTGGAGACATCTCGAGACCGGTCTAGTCGTCACTGCGGTTTCTTCTACGGACTTCGGTAACTTTGGGGTCCCCAGACTTCAACACATTCCAGATCTACCGCGGGGGGTCTCTGAGAGGGTACGTAGATCGACAGATTGCTTCTAATGTGTTTTTGATAAGAACCAACTTTGTTAGTTTACTGCAGACCAAATTCACTCCCACTCAGAACTCAGTTTCTTCAGATACGAAGGTTCTGATAACATCATATTCACACGTCATCACACCTCACATTCCATCCACTTAGATTCATTCATCATATAAAGTGTCCTAGTTGTCATGTTTTAATTGTTTATAAAATAAATTCCTTACTTTTTATAAACTTGACTCTCTTCTTGAATTAATATGAAGTGTCTAACAATCCCTGAATAAACAACAAATTCTAAATCTTCTGGTTAAACATTCAAAGACCAATCAGACTGGATTTCCATATTTATATGGAAATTCACATCCTATTGGTCAAAGTGTAGGGTAGTATATCAAGCTTTAAAAGCACCCGAATACATACGTATGTTACTCCCACATGAGAAAAATTTCAATGAACTATTGAGCATAACTTTAGTTCACTAACAGTATTTTTTAATACAATAATTTTTTCCACCCACCTACCTACCTACCCACCTACCCACCACTCCTAAATGAAAATGTTGATTCTTGTCTCTTAGGTTTCCTCCCATACCTGTAGAACATATCTTACGAGCTTTTGAGGTGAGAACAGCCACTGTTCCTTCGTGTTGTGTTGGATGATAACTGATAACTTTAATGATAAAGTAGCTTATTTATCTCAAACATCATTAGTAAAAAAGGCTTCAACTCTGTTTTCAGGTTTTAGACAAAGAGAACAAAGGACACCTGGAGGAGGGGGAGTTGACAAAATACATGACTGAGGAAGGTAAAGCTGAAAAGTAGATTTTCTTGTGATATTTTTGTGTAAGCTTCTGCTGTTGTTTAAACCAGGTGAGCCGTTCACTAACAAGGAGATGGAGGAGATGCTGGCAGTGCTTCTGAACAACAAAAGGGGCCTTGTATATTACAGAGATGCTGTCGGTTTACTGGGATTTGATGGTGTGATGAAGTGACACAAAGTGTTTGTGAAGAGATTTGTAAATAAACATTTTTAAACAGTACTTTGATTTTAGATCAACACACCTCACATTCAATTTTGAGAAAATTAGTCACTTGGTAGTTTTGCTTGCTTTTAGCACCCCAAGAGTCTGTTATTAATTTGCTTTAGTAAAACCAAAATTGCTTGTGCTTTCGTCTTTTTAACACTTTAATGTAACTGATGGCATGTCTCCTCAGCCTATATTAGTTTCTACAGGAGTGGTTCATCACTAAATCAAACAAATCCACTGTGTTCACGATCTAAAACATGCAGGAATCATGTGCTGGGAGCAGACTCTAGCATGTCAGCTTCACTTTACAGGGAGTAACAGGGACCTACCTGGTTACTCAAGTTGCAAGTGCGGTATTCTGCCCACAGGGGGCTGTGGTGTGAAATTTTATTAACGCTTTAAAGGGTAATTTTAGAAAAAGAACGAAGAACACATTTTTATATAGCGCCTCTCAAAATAAAAATCAGGATGTTCTACACAATAACAAAAATTTAAATAAAGAGATTAGCACATTCTGGCTCAAGAAAATGAAAAAGCTGCATAGTAACCAAAGCGCCGACTTAAAAGTCAAATGTAATTGTTTTATAAAAGATCCAGGCAGATTTTGCCTGTGCATGGATGTGGTGTTTAGAACAATACATGATTTAAACTTATAGTATGCACCCCAAAAATAGTTTCCTGTGAAAATCTGCAGATACGACAATATGCCTCTGGTTTTGGGAGGATGGAAAGCTGTAATTAGGAGCAAGAGCTTGCTGCTAAGCCAAGCCCAGAACGAGGCCAAGACAACACGCTGGAGTTTAAGAATAGCAAGCTCCCTGAAAACTGCAGCTGATTTACAAAGTGCATTCTTATAGACTGGACTCACACAGAAAAGGCAAGGCATTTTCAGTTAGCTTATTCAGTTCGCCGACCGCCAGTTAAACGCACAAGAAGGAAAAAAGTTTTTTTTGCCAGCTTTATGGTGAAGCCTGGAAGTAAAGGTCAGGTAACTGTCTTTGAAGGTGAAGCAAAGAGCTAAAACCAGAGTGAACATTGGCACTGCCTACATTTGTTTGAGTAAGCTAAAGGAGTTTATGAAATCACGTGGCTAATAATATTTTTGTCCAACAGTGTGGATCTTTTTAATTTTTAGCTTATTTAGCAGAGGTGTGACCAAGTCACTGCATTGCAAGTCACAAGTCTTTCCTGTCAAATCTCGAGTCAAGTCCAAGTCAAAGACAACCAAGTCCAAGTCGAGTCCAAAGCCAATGATGTGGAAGTCCAAGTCAAGTCCAAGTCCTTAACTTTGAATTTTCATGTCAAAAGCAGGTCATCTGTCCAACTTAAATTTAATGAAAATGTTAAATTCCAGAAATAGTTTCTTAAAGCTTAAATTGCTCAAACAAGCAGAAAGTGCAACTGAAGATTATAAACAGTGCTGCTGCATTTAGCAGAACAAGATTTTAGTCCATGTCGTGCCACTTTTGAGCTAAAATATCAAATATGCTCAAGTTAACAGATGCAAGTCGATTCAAGTCGCAAGCCATTGGCATTTAAGTCCGAGTCAAGTCGTAAATCTTTATAGATTTTATCAAGTCAAGTCAGAAGTCATTAAAATAATGACGAGTCCAAGTCATGTGACTCGAGTCCACACCTCTGCTATTTAGTAAGACTTGGCTCATATTAGTGTTAGCTCATTATTTCATTTAAAAAAATCCATGAGCAGTGTCAACGAATGATTTGCTGCATCAGGAAAAGATATAGAAATAAAATAGAACGGGAATAAATCCTGATCAGTGGTTTTATCTCAGATGAATTTGCATAGACTCGAACAGCTGTAGCAGACAGATGTTTTACCTAATCTAAAGCTTATACGAGTGAAGCGGTGACAAAAACAAGCCTCTCCCTTAACACGAATTCATGCTACATTATGACTTTAATCCATAGTGAGACAAACCTCAGCTGGCATTATATTCAAGATTTTAGACAAATTCATAAAACAAAAGCCTTAATAGTTTTTTTTAACAGTGAAACAGAATAATTCTCATTTACCACCAGCTTCCACAAACAGACTCAAATCAAATCAGTACAGTTTTGATTTACCAGAAAAGAAATAAATAAAACAAAAACACTTTTTACACGTTTACATTCTTCTTTTATGACCTCAGACTTGGTAACAAAGTGAATGAGTTAAAAAGTGGCTATGACCTAAAATCTACGATGTTAATCCACTTTGGTGAAACGTCATTCAGAAGAAAAAGGAGGAATGTTTATTTTTGAAAATGTAGTGGGAAAGTTAAATGGGATTTTATTCCAAATGTTAATTCAACCAGAACATGAAAAATATATTCATGTCATATAATCAAATGGCCCTCCAACCTACAGCTCTCATTTTCAGAATATTTTGTTTTTAAGTCTTCTGAGAAGGTGAAAAATATAGAAGATACCTGCTGATTGGTCCATTACTTCATATACTGATTCATGTGGCTTCAAGTACTCATGTCTATGCCCTGTTGAATCAGTTATAGAGGAGCTTCCGATTCATTTATTCCAGCATTTTAATGCAAGATACATTTTTAGCAACCTCTGCCTCACTAGTCAGTTGGTCCCTGAAGAGCCGTTAGCTGTCAGAAAATTACAGACCAACACGTGACAATAAAAGGCAACGAGTAAGAAAGGAAACAAAAGCAGAGGTAGAGAGGAATATGGTAACGTAACCTGCTACCAACGGTGGTCTCTTCACAATTTTGTCCCATTATTGCACTCCACCTGAACCAGAACGAGCACCAGAAAACAAACCACATTGCACTTTTTACATATACTGGGAAGAACAGGAACCTTCAACTGGAAAACCTTTTTGTAAAAGGATAAGCTAGAGGGAAGAGGTGGTTTAAATCTGACAAGTTTTCACCCAAAACTTGACTTCACTTAAAATAACAAAAAAAAGAAAATTAATTTGATCTGCATCAGTTAAGGTCAAAGGGGTTATCCAACACCTGATCAACATGCTGCTGCCAACAAACAGAAGATTCATCCATTTTGGAGTTTCCCAGCAAACATCGACTGCATAGCTGCATCCTGGGATTAGCTTGTTTAAATCTAACTTTTATCCTGCAGAAGAAGTTGTGCAAAACTTGGTAAGAAACATCTGCTTTCATCTGAACCTCATCTCTCTCTTTATCTGATCCAGACAGTAGATCAAGTTCTATAAGGCCTCAGTGAAGAAGAAAAGAACAAGCTCATTAAAACCACTAGTCAGAAGATGGACCATCTGGATGGGTGTAATGGGACAATTTCTGCTGGTTGTTTTCAGTCTAAAAGGTCAAACTGGAAGAATTAGATAAGAAAACATATACAAATGACTGCATGTACATAAAATTAACTGAATAGAAAATGGAGAAATAATAAAGCCTTAAACCAGAATAAACACCTTAATCCCTTCTGAGATTCAACTCAAGAAGTCCTAGTTGGATTAGAAATAAAATAAGTTTAAACATTTACCAGATTTTGATTGGATACATTTAAAGATTTAAAATGTAGAAGCCTGAACAAATTAGATTTGATCTCCATGATCTGACTCTTGAGTGATGATCGGTCATCTAGCAGGGCCATGATTAGCAAACCTGAAACCTGTGTCAGTATCTGACAGCAAGAGCGTATCGTACCCAGATAGAGTTTCTACAGTCCAGTATTTGGTTGGCTCAACACACAATAACCTTTGGTGTCCCTCTTTAAATCTGCAGCACCAGGCCAGCAGCTGAGATGTTGTCCCCCCCACCTGCAGTTTGATAAACCTCAGTGCACACCAGCACCGGTGCCACGCAGATCTGGTAGTCGTCCTCATCCCAGCAGCTGACGGGCCTGGTCTCCTGCAGAGGGATACGCTGGCTGCCGGCACGGTGGCTAACGGAAAACGAGTCATCCATAATGAGTCTCGCCTTGCTGAGGTCGATGTCATTCGAGCCACAGACGTGCCGGTTAGCTGTGAGCGATGCCTTGGCGATAGCCGACATGGTGTTCTTCCACTGAGAGCCGTGCGTCACAATCATGGCTTGGAAGGCCAACGTGTGCACATGGAGTCGGGTCAGTGGCTTACCCTTGAACTTAGCACTGTCTAAGTTGCTGTCTGAGCTGGTGTCCTTGTGACGCTGGTTCAGAATTCGGTAAACCTCCCTCATCTGGTCGAGGACTGTAGCTACGCGAGGGTTTGGGTCTGAGAGCACGGTGATGTTGGAGCCTTTGAGCAGGCTGAGGAGATTGGGAAGTTCCTGTTCGTTCATCCCTAAAGAGTCAGCCTGTAAAAGCAGAGACAGGATGAACGGTTTCAGTAATAATGAGGAAATGTCTGACATGTTCTTTTAATAACTGAAGAAAAAGAAGGGGACAAGTTTGTTTAAAAAAATAAAGACCTGACGTGTGTTATACAAACTGCAGTATGCAAACTTTAACAATCAGAAAATGTTGCCGAGTTGAAAAAAACCTAAAAACAATTACTGTAGTGTAATACATCCTACACCTCATTAAATATGTACTATAGTGACCTTTGACCCAGTGGGGAAAACACTGCTTTTAGAGGGTTTGAGATATTTTCTTAAAGGTGCAATATGTAAGAATGAAGTAACAATGACATCCTGTGGTTAAATTTGATTACTGCAGCCCATTTTTCTAAGCAAAAAGTTACTTTCTCACTTTCATTCCATGAGTTTAACGGCAGTTTCCAGTTATGGGTCCAGAGGCGTGGCGTGGGGTAGCACATGCCACCCTTGGAATCTGATTGGCCACTCCCTACTGAGTTTCATTTAAGTTGTCTTTATATTCTCGACAAAAAGCTTAGTGTTATAAACCAAAGAACAGTAGGTAGTAGCATGTACTTTTAACGTTGATTTCTAGCTCTAGGCCTACATTTCATTAATATTGTTCTTTATAATTTTTTTCATATTGGCCTAAACAGTATTTAGAGTTCTGGCCCGACTCCACTCCAGTTGGTGGTGGCAATTAATCAAGAAGTGGCAGTGTTTCCCCTACATAGACTCAGGCGTGGTGCAAACTCCAGCACCGCAGCTACAAATTCTTCTAGTTCACTGTTAGCAATGTTAGCTCACTATTAGCCTCAGCCTGTTTCACCCTGCTTCACCCAATATTAGAGTAAAATAAAAAGGAAAAAGTGGATTCTTAGGGGTAAGAGAAATAACTTCTGGGTCGCTCCTGTTTACTGGCTTTGGTTCTTTAAATAACTCTGGAGCTTATTTAGCCTGGCCTACCAGACTCGTCTTCTGTTCTACACAGAGAACGAGTCTGGTTACTCACAGGCAGAGAGGCACATGAGGGGCGGGACTAGCCAGCTCAAAAATAACCAATCAGAAAAAAGGCGGAAATGCCAACTGTACTGCGCGACGCTGTAATTTTTTTAGCTGTAGTAAAAAAAAATGGCGTCTGGCGATGGCAAACATCTTTTTATTTTATTTTTTCCAGAAGAAAGGCTTTTAGCGCGTCTTTTTGTTGTGGTTTTAAAGACATGTTCAAGTAATTTAGAATAGAGGGAAGAGCTGCAGTGAACTTCACAGTTGTCTTCGTTGTTTACAAGAAACTGAGTGTTGTGGTGTGTGACGTCCGCAACGCTGTAGTTTTTTAGCTTTAGTCAAAAATGGCATCTGGCGACGGTGCAAACAGCTTTCTTTAGAATAAAGGCTTTTAGTGCTTCTACTTGTTGTGGTTTTAAAAACATCTTCAAGTCATTTAGAACAGAGGAAAGATCCACAGCGAACTCTGCTTAAGTCGCCATGTTTATGAGAAACTCAGCATTCTAGTGTGTGACGTACACTGCTCAGTGCTGATTGGCTCGGTCAGAATTCTCAGGGGGTGGGGTTATTTGAATAGAAGAGTTCCCAGACCCATGCTTCCCATAAGGAGGCATGGGGCTGGCTGGTCAGGCTAGAACTTTTTGCCAGCCGGTGTCAAATTACAAATACCGGCACTGCAGTGTGAGATTGCTGTTGACTGGGCAACCCCGCGGTCTCACAAATTTTAAATAGTGAATACGTCACTCTGCATATTTTGAAGAGAAAAACGGACAGCCCCCTAGCTGGCTGAGACAGAAACCTGTTTCAATGTGACCTTTCGCCCAATATGATTGAGACATTAGTCTGTTTTGTGATTATTTCACCGTAAAATTCTTACACTTTGCTCCTTTAAAGCCCAAATCAACGTCACTGACCATATTTATCGCATCAACACTGGTTTCCTATGACGCTTCCTCATTACTCTAGACTTGTTTTTAATTAGACACATCAACAGGTGAGGAATAAGTTTGCCTATATAGGAAATCCCCTCCTACCAGGTCAAAGCGCTTAGCTTACAAATTTATTCAAAAATAATTCAAATCCAAATTCAAATTCCCAGTACCATCTGAGCATTTCCAACAGGCTGACTCATCATAGCTACATCCTAAATAAACATGTCCGTCAAAGTGAGTTTCTAGTCTGTAAACAAGCATATGGGGGACGACATACATGGGGGATGACGTGGTGCAGAAGGTCATCCACAATACTCTCGTCAACAAAACTGGCCATCTCAAAGTGGATGCCGATCTGAGGAGATGAGGTGGACAGCAGGCCTTCCAGCCTAGAGAGGACAGCTTCTCGCTCACCTGGAATAAAGAAATGGACAGGATGGCGATGACTTTTAGATGCCAACATTGAGAATTTTCTTCCTAACCCATTACAAATTAAATGCTATAAAAAGATGCAGTGGATGCTGTTTTCCAAGCTATAACTCTGCTGCAGTTCTTGTGGAGAGGATACAAATGGAAGATGGATTTCCTCCTGAAGGTTGTTATTAAGCTCATGACTCCATGATGAAGGTATTGCAGTTCTTGTTTTAGCCTGTACACGGATGAATGTAACCCACTGTTGGACAGACACATATTGAAGATACATCCAAATGCAAAAGTAACTTAAAAACCTTTAGTGACCATTTACACAAATCAACATTCTCCGTTTTTCTATTAAAACCAACAATGTTATTTATTTACCTGGCAGGAAAGGGAAGTTGTCCATCATCTGTAAACCACCCACCACTATCAGATCTGGTCTGAAGTCTCTGAGTTTCTTGGCAAACTCCTCCAAGGAGTCCAAGTAGGGGTTATGATCATCACTGTGAATGATGTATCTGCAGAGCACAGGAAAAAACCCCATCTAATCCAGGAAGTTAATTTTTCAGCTCCATCTTGAACAAGCTTTTAAGTTTAAATAAAAGCAGAAACCTGTTGGCTCTTTGGGAGGTATAGTGCCCCCAGCTAGTACTGGATGAATATTCCAGAATCAGGTGGATGTCTGGCTCCTCGATGTCCTTACCAGCCACTGGAAGTTGGAAAACCAACATTAATTAAAGGGGAACAAGACAGGTTTGGCCTGCTTTTAGCACAACCAAGTGTCGGTTTGTAGAACCAAAAGCAAAACTTATCTCCTCGCTGTGTTATTTTTAACACTTTAATAACAGCTGAAATATCTCCACAGTCTTCCTTAGTGTCTACAGGAGTGATTCATCTCTAAATTAAACAAATCAGCTGTTTTTATGATCCAAAACATGCAGGAAACGTGCTGGAAGCAGACTGCAGCACCAGGTATGTCAGCTCAATTTTTTTTAAGTATCAACAGAGTGGCTTGCAAGTCTGAAGTTGCAAGTGGAATATTCTGGCCACAAGGGGGGCAATAGGGGCTAGGCGGCCTTTCATTAACCCTGTAAAGGGTCATTTTAGTATATACTGGCTCAAGAAGATGATTTAAAGTGAGGGTCAATGCATGGCTGGAGACCTATTTCATCTACACTTCCTGTCAGGAAAACGCTTCTGAAAGACGCATCACCTGGCGGACCGAGAGAGCGGCACTGAGGCAGTGATAGACTGCACCCCCCTCAACCCCCACGTGTGTGCTGTCGGAGTCTCTCGATCTAAAAACGAGTTGTTAACGAGCGTGTGCGCACGCACTCACACAAGACTTACCGCTCAGGAGAAAAGCAGACAGATTCTGCAGCATTCTGGAGGATTTCCTGTTAAACGCGATCATTATATGAAAAGGGGAGGAGGGCATTTTTTTCAAGGAGGCGAGCAGCTCAGAGCGCTAATGTGTCAAACCGGCAGGTGCGTGGCTGAGCCTGGTGGAGGTGCGGCTGCCTCACCTGGAGACCAGTGCATTGCAGCCACGTAGTACTTTGCTGACAACGTCACGTTTTTCAGCTTAGCCATCAGCCACAGCTGATTGTAAATAAATGTGGAGCAGTGTTTTAATATGAAGATGGAGATATAATTATGGTTTTGGCCTGAAATATTAAATTTAAAGTAAGTTGCTCTAAACTGCCACACTAATGATTACATGTGTGCACAGCACCATTAGACACTCATCTGTACAGTTTATCAGCAAAAAATAGTTAGTTTAGGCGTTACTTGCTCTTTAAAAATATGAAAAGGTTGAAAAGTATCCCTTTTACAAAAAGGCAGGAACAAAACTAGACACCACCTACTATCAGGTCAAAACAACATGCCAACAATTTTTTTCCACGTGCATGTTTGTGCACATACCTGTAATGTGCCGAGACAACACATCAGTAAAATCAGTGCTGAAACTTCCCCCCAACAGCACATCACATCCCTCGGTTGCCATGCGCCCCGCCATTACGGGAGCGTTGCCACCCACAGCCCACCTGTTTCCAGGTAGGTCACGAGCACACTCCACCAGCTCACTGAAGAGAGTTTCATTTAACATAAAACGCCTAGAGGGGGGACAGAGAAAAGACGCTTGCACTGAAAAAGAAATGAAAAGGGCATGCAGTTCTTCATCCGACATCACTCACTCTGCAGCAGCTCCAGGTGCAAAGAAGTAGGCAAAGCTCTGCGCCAGCTGTTCAGCATTTTCTAGATAGTCGTGGTGCATGGGCTGGTCGCTGTTAAGGATTCCCATTTTATTTAGAAATGACACACCATCTACTATCAGGTCGGCACAACCTCCAAAACCTGCAAAAACAGATGGATAAACACAATTGTGCATAAAAATCAAAGTCAAGACAAAGAATAAAAAATTAGGACACACAAAAATGTTTGCTTAAGACATTTGTACATTTAGTAGGTATACATTTACATTTGAACTAGTTCTGATTAGTTGCCTTGTCCTTTAGCTGCATCAGCTATTCCTGCACACTGCTATTATATTAATACAGTTTCTAACAATTTTGGTATAAATAAAAGTTAAATGGTTTTGAAATCAGTCAAACTTATCCTAAAGTGGTAGCTGAGGAACCTGATCACAGCATTTGTTATTGGAAGCCAATTATGGATGATAAGCAGCAACAGATTGCGTAGCCGAGTCTGCTATTGGATGGGGCAAAGGTTAAAAGATTGTGATTTATACTATCAAAGTCCAAAATGATAGGATTTTTAACATTTGGATTATATTAAGGTAGCGCGACTCGGTTGCGAATGACCACAGTCACCAATTCTTGTCATGTGTCTTGCCCAGTATGTCTGATCTTTGAATTGTGTGTACTGAAACTCTTCCCTGGGACAAATAAAGCTTTTCATTCATTCATGACAGTGGAAAATATATCTCTAACACAAATAGTTCATTATTTACTCATTTAGCTCCCATGTTGTTCGTCCCTGATCAGTTCTGACCATCCCAGCTTGGTTGAGGAGCTTTATCTTAGCCTGGCTGTCCCGTTTGGTTTATGGATCACAGCTCAGATCCACCTGTTCCAGCTGCTGATCTGAACTGGGATCTGGTGTCTGCAACTTCATGACTACACAACCTTCTCAACTCACCAAATAGAGATTTTTTTTTACTTTCCAACACCAGCTTAACACATTGCTCTCCTTTACTCATTCATTTGCAGATAAATACAATCTGGCGTTGATGATTTTGAAGGTTTACCCAGTGCTGTTAAATATTTAAATGACACGCGACACAAACGTTTTTAGCTATTTTGTTTCGCTAGCAAATTATGCTAATAGCAATACTTTATGCTGTCAAAGTGCATGCAGCAGCTTTCGTTAGTGTCACATGCTTTACTTATTTTTCTGTTGCTATTATTAATCAGAAAACTCCACAATAAACGAAACGTATGTGACTCGTGCTAACGTTAGCTTGCTGTCATAGTACCTACCGATCGCCACTCTGGGTCGGGCGTTATTCATGCCGACTTTCCTCTCAGCCCGGAGCAAAGACGAAAGGACTGAGTCAAGTCGGTAATCCAGCTCTACATCCTGCGGTGAACGGAACCAAAGCGCTAAAATAACCACAAACAGAGACACAGCGGAGCCATATCTCATCCACGGAAGCCTGCTTCCCTCCTCCATCTCTCGAGTCGCTACAACTCCGTCGGTGCGGTGGCTCTCTGGTCCTACTCGAATTTACACTTCTTCGTGTTTATTGGCGGGTGGCATCTAACTTCTAGGTGCATTTCCGCCACCTACTGTGCTGGAGTATGAGTCGGAGCAAGAGCGTAAAAAAAAAACCCCAAAAAAAACAAAAACAACTAAATTGACAAACCAGTGTTTTATATACTCAATAACCATCTTATATTTCCTTTCTTCACCATTTAACAAATTCTTTACATTTATCACTCCACCTCCTATGTTTTTTTAATTTCTCCCTGAGTTGTCCTCTACTTTCCTCATATTTTATGCAGTTACATAAAACATGTTCCACTGTTTCTCCCCCCACCCCACATCCACACAAACCTGTGGGATGTTTGAATTTACACTACACCCCCTCCCGACTAAAGATAAACTGTTGGATGGTAGGTGGGTTTGTTTTTACAAACAGCGTGTTCCGGATGAGCATTAAACTATGCGGGCACTGCCACGACTTGATGTTACGGTCTCTCTTTAGTTTTTAAATGCTTTTTAAATACAAAACGTAAATTGTCCTCAAGTGTCTAACTTTCACCGGAGTCTCTCAAACCTTTACAGATTTTAAAAGCACAACCAATTATTTTAGACAACAGGGACACACTGGTGACTAAAAGAAGCCAGTTTATTTTAAAGGGGCGTTGAGGATTGTTTTTGTAATAACATTTCCACCCAGGGGCAGAAGTAGCCAAGTGGTGCTCAGTAGAGACCAACCAAAACGAAAAGCACACTCTAAAAAGCATTGACGGTTATTGTGATTACTGCAATGTAACCGTAATAATGAGTAAATTTAAAGCGGCCTAAGTCACGTCCATCTACTTTCACCATGGGTCCGCAACTGCCCAAAAACTGAAACAGGAGTCTATGAGAGAAGTTGTTTTCTGATCCTGTTTCAAATGAGCCATGAATTTCACATGTCAGCACATTTTGATGCCAAGAAAGCACTTATTTGACAGGCGGCAAGTTATTTTGCATGTATCTGTATGAAAATATGTATAGGACTACAAATCTGCTGCTCCCTAAATTGACATCGAACCATGCACAAGAGCAATTGGCGAGCCTCTGGTTCTTCCAGGACGAAAGAGGAGCATTAAACAACTATAAATCTGGCCATGCGGTGAGCAGCTACACCGGAGAGAAGAGATTCTGTGGTGACGTCATATTTGCGACATCTGATTTGTAGTCATTTCAATTCAAAAATTCTACAATTTTACAAGCCAATAAATTTAAAAGTATGTGACAGTCAAATCACACATTTTCATTTAAAAATTGAAGTACATGTGTGTGATTCAGCCCGTAAGGCAAAGCAATTTAGCTCTTCTAGCCACGTTGACTTGCATCAATTTATTTGTTCTGGAGACCCACTGACAGTTTTCACTTTAGAAGTGTGTGTGTGTTGTGGGGGGCTATGTCCACCCTGTTCCCCCCAAAAAAAATTACGTCCATGTGGAGACCTATGAGTCGACCAGAAGGGGAGGGCTCCCTATAACAAATCTACAGAACAAGCTAGGTTTTGAACACAAACACGATCCCTCAGTATCTTCCCTGAGAGCTTTTGCTAGAACCAGAAACCCGCATTGCCACAGGAACATCATTCACTGCTTTGGACATCCATTCTTGTTTGTGACTAATTTTTTCTAAAGTTGAAGTGGTTGCAGCTGGACATTTCATTGTTTTTATTTCTCAATTCTAATTTTTGCTTATTTATTTTTTCTTGCACCAAGTACCACAGCAATTTCCTAATGTGATTCTCACACATATGGCAAAAAAAAAATAAAATAAAATAAAAAAACCTTCTGATTTCTCCTCTGAAATTGCACAGTAACCCCTCACGTATGTAACTGAGGTCCCAGGGAAGTGCAGTGGTTTGGCGAGACTGACAACCGGATGGTGCCATAGTTGCTTTTGGTTCGAAAAGTGTTATTGGCAGAGGTTTTTAAACAGAACCAAGAGAACCATTTAATCAATTATAGAACGAAAAGTTTTAGCCAATTTGCCATTGCAGTTTCAAGTTTGTGAGCCTTGGTGTCGTATTTTGCACAATAAAATATACCACAACATGTTGTCAAACATCTCATTCATTCATTTAATTGAAATTTAGCACTGTACCAACAGTATGATCAAAACAAACACCATCTCATTGTTCATATTTAAGTTCTCTGATCAAAGTTTAAAAACCCCCCATTAGGCACTTATTGTAGACAGTACATCCAGACATCAGCATAAAAAAAAACAAAACAGGATCAAACGTGAGCCAATCACTACAAAACAAGTACATTCAAAACAAGACATACCTTTACTCATCTGGATAGTTAAAAAAAAACCTAATTAGATCATGTTCTGCATTGCTCTAAACTGGCCAAGCAAACACACAATTAATGTTCTCAAATCCACCAACAGTGAAAGTTGCTTAAGTTTCTTAGTATGTGTAATGCTGTATATACATACATAGTTTGATATGACTTTAAAAAAAAAACTTAAAAAAAATGTGTTGTAGTTGAGTGGTGTGTGTTGCCCTCTAGTGGTGATTCCCTTCAAACCTGCAGAGAAAAAGGAAAACCATTTATTCACAAGCATCAGACTAAAGACCAGGTGTCTTATTTATCAAACATTGAGTAGAATCTTTACTAAAACTGTACTTAAGCTCAGCAAAAGAAATGTACTTACGCCAAGTAGGTTTGTGATCTATCAAACATGGAGTACGCACAGCTGCTCGCAATCTCCGCTTCATAAATCAGAAACTATCTAGAATGTTTCTCAGCTGCTTTTTGGTCACATCCTGCTCTCAACACACCCACTTACTGCCATAAATAGTCAATGCAAAGTGCCTTGTGGATCTCATGCATATACATAAGCCGGCTTGTTGCAGCAGTTCGATCACGACCGCAGATCAAGGAAGCGCTATTTCACAAGTTGAGGTAACTGTGGGTGAGGTGCAGAAATGAAAGGAGGTGCTTTAGCAAAACAAATAAGAGAAAATCCACGGAGTGGCACACCGTTGCTGAGGCCGTCAATGCTGAGTTCTTCAGAGAGATCTGTGGCGGATATAAAAAAATGATCCGATCAGGACTCGATCCCCAGACTCCCGGGTGAAAGTCACGCGTGTTAACCAGTCAACCAAACGGAGATCTCCCTTGTCCTAGTAACCAGGGCGCATGATCAATCGGGTCACAGTGACAGGACACACATACTGTCACAGACGCAGATATTCTGCATTCTGTATTCTGCGCTTCAGGCTGTGTGTGTGTGTGCGCGCGTGCATGTGGGGGGTCTTGTTCTGTGTGAAAACAAAGCAGTACAAGTGATAATGCTGCAGGATTTCATAATTTTATCCTTAGCAGCAGCACTGCAGGTGCTCTCCATGTCCAACATGTGCATAAGCAAGGTCCTTAGTCAACTTAAAGTTGCGCACATTTTTCCGCTAAGTTTTCTTTCATAAATCCCAAAGTTTGCGTGGAAAGTTGCTTATGCAGTTTTCCGACCCCGTTTTGTGCGTAAGCAAGCTTGATAAATGAGGCCCCAGGAGCCTCATTTCTCCACCTCACCCACAGGTACCTCAATTTCTGCCTCTGTGAAATAGCGCTTCCTTGATCTGCCTTGATCTACGGTCGTCATCATCATTGGTGGAGCGCTGCAACAGCCGGCTTATGTAAATGCATGAGATCCACAAGGCACTTTGCATTGACTATTTATGGCAGTAAGTGGGCGTGGTGAGGGCAGGATGTGACTAAAAAGCAGCTGAGAAACTTCAGTCTCTGATTTATGAAGCGGAGATTGTGTGCAGCTGTGCGTACTCCATGTTTGATAGATCACAAACCTACTTGACGCAAGTACATTTTTTGCTGAGCTCAAGTACGGTTCTAGTAAGGATTCTACTCAATGTTTGATAAATGAGACCCCAGGTGAATAAGTGAAGACTGATAACATTCATGCACAAAGAAAAAGCTACATATCCTGGTCAAGCTTGATATGAACAGAAAGTAAATCAGTGTGTTGCAAACAATAAATATCACTTACCTTTAGTTTATTTGGGCATTCCACCAACCATCTCCGATTCAATACCACAGTGATCTGATCCACGCAGGATTTTGAAAAAACCTGAGAATTAAAAATACATACATTTAGAAAAACAGAGGCTTGCGCTTAAATATACATATATGCATACATATGTGAGATGTGCAAAGAGCCTCAGCTCACCATTGTCACCCCAGTCAGTGTTCCAGGAGTTTGCACAAAGCCAGTAGGGGACACCGTTCTCCTCCCCCCAGCCCAAGACCTTGATGGCATGTCCACCCAAAGCAGAACCAGTCACATGCTGATACACACCTGGAGGAGAAATTGGGCACAGCTACAGTCAGCTCAACATATCCACGCTTATACTGCATGTCTGATTGGTGCATTCGTCCTCACCAGACTTGTACAGAAGAAAGTCCTCAAAGACTGTGAATGCTCCCTCTACAGGACCGTTCTTGTATATCTCAGACTGAATCTCCGTCTCTTCTGATGGCACGCTGTAAGCGGTTTTACCTGCAACAAACAGTTAGCGGTATGCATGCATTTGTGTGCACATCTAGCCGCCACCACTGTGGTTTGACCCACATACAAATACCCACCCAAGAAGAGAGGTTCCTAAAAACTGGACACATCTGAGACCTGATTATGTACTTATTTTATAGACATGCCTTTATGCCTAAAAATGCAACATGAGATTTTTTTATTTGCATACTGAATACAGTTTCATCTTGTGGTTAATAGTACAAAGTTATCACAGGTGAACAAACTACTGAGGACATTTTAACAAATCTTAATGATTCCTTATAAAAGCAATAATTCGTCTCCCTCTGTTCAATCATACCATAATGTTTGTCCTTCTTGTAGCTAGGTGTGTATCCAGGTTCACATGTGTTGACACATTCAGGCGTGTCACCGCCCTCTCCGGTGCAGGGGGGTCTGCTGCCGTTCACATGGTGCTCACAGGGGGCAATGGTGTAGGGCCTGCAACCTGTTCATACATACTCACGTTAGGGCCCTTATTAGGGACCAAGAAATGCTGATTGGTACGACTTCACAAAAATCAGTTAACTACAGAACACTAAAGGAGCATTTTAATAATCTGAGGGGGGAAAAAAAGTTAAAACCAGCTTGATCAAAGTAGTTTAAGAATCTTATTTGTGACTTTAAAACTTGCTTAATAAGCCAAAACATTTTAAACAAGTCTCCTAATTCCAGCAAATAGTTCACTTAGACATGGATAGAAATCAAAATGAGACAAGGAAATAGATATAAATAAATCAAAAAGCAGTAATCCATCCATGTGTTGACCAACTTTATTGCTAATGAGTGACATATTTTAATGAGATCGTTGGATCTCAAATGCACAAACTCACCGATGTGGGAGTTGTAGAGACCTCCAGTGACGAGTCCCTCTTTGGTCCAGAAGTCCCAAGCAGCTGTGGGGTAACCACCGTTGCATCTAAATAAAGGCAGAACCAGATGCTCATTAATGCATCAGTACACAATCCAGGAAGTTAAATTCATGAAAAGTCAAGTGTTCATCTCTTACCCCATTCCACAGCTGTCACAGCAGGAAAGGAGATCCTCAGCAGAGACATCCACACTGACTTTCCCATTGCTGTGGATGCACACACGGTCAGAGATGGCCTCTGCAGCACCAAACGCCTGTAGGCCAAAACATAAATGTGAGTAAATAGAGGTGTGAAAGTTCAGTGCAGCATCAATAAACCATCTCTAGTTTCAGCTCTTGGCTTTCCAACAAGCCTATTCTGAAGAGTTTTTACTCAACTACAAGAGCCAGAGTGTAACCTCACCCAGCAGGAGCCACAGGAACCCTGGTCTCTGATCTCCTTTAGAGTGGGACAGTTGGGCCACTGCACTCTGGCATCAAAATTTTTAGGTAGCTTCAGGCCTCCACCATACTGAACCCTGTCAAGACGAAGGATTACAGTTACCACAGTGACCCCAGTCATTACCAGGGTATGTATGGCAAGACAAAAAAAAAGCAACAACTTCAAAGCATGCACACATCTGAAGATACAAAACCTATGCAATCAGATAATCACAACTCACATGAGGGGCAGTTTAGGTCCCTTCAGCATTGTGCCGCAGAGCTTCTGGACATAACTGTAGTCAACATTTAGGAAGTTGTGACCAGCCTGGAGGAGGAAGATTTGGTTAAGACATTTCTACTCATTGAAATCTAAGTAAAAAAAACCCCAAACAAACATGAACTATTTTACCTGCCAGGTGGTATTCATTTTATTGATGTAGTTGATCATCTCACTGGACAGAGGATGGAGGCGGGGCTTGGCCAGGCTCACCGAGAAGCTGGCAGCCAATAGAAATAGGGATGTCCACCACATCCTGCATGACAAGAACAAAGATACGAATGAACTGATTATACATAATACAGTGAAAGCACCGACTCAGAACAAGAGTACATCTATAATAATTCAGATTACAAGAACCGTTTCGAGGTTTGATTTCTTGTGGAATGTTTCTATGAAGGCCGAATGACAAACATTATCCCATAAGCATTAGAAGGGCTCTTCTATATAGATGAGTTTGAAACATGTAGAATATGGGTGTCCCAACTTTTAAAGATGAGGGATAAAAATCATCAAGTTTTAGTCGTCACGGGCCATAAATATTAGATTATTTTTTTCCCCCCAAAAAGAACCCTTCCTAAATTTTTTTTATTTGTACTCCTCAAAAGAAGTCAGTGCAACCATCCATCCATTTATTGGTCTACTTATCTGAAATCACGTCAGAGAAGCAGGAGCCCAAGCAAAAAGGCCCAGGCTTCCCTCTCCCCAGCCCCAGCTCTTCCGCGGAATCTCGGATTTAGAAATGGGAAATAATAATAATGCATTTGTCAAAATCAGATTTTTTTAGAATGTGTCCAATATCAAGAGTCTGCTGAAGATAAAAAATTCATTATAGAAATCCTAATGGGGGTGGGGGGGGGGGGGGTGGGGGGGGGGGCTTGGGCCACAAAGCCCCAATGCTACACTTCTGAAAAACAAAAAGACTTAAAAAATTTAAAAAATGCCATGCTTGAAGAAAGTGGTCCCACTTTGATCCACTTTTGAAGCTACCAAGCAGGCAAAAGACACAGTTGATTAAATATCTTCACACTGGTTGAATCTACAAGTGTACCAGCAAAAACATCCATTCTCAGTTATGCTTTTCTAGCCTCAAGTCTAGAGTGGGTTGTCGGAAGGTTGTAGGTTCGACCCCAACTCCGGCAGAGAATGCTTGCTGCTCTTGTGTCCTTAACCCAACTTGCTTGCTGGTGCTTGTTGGAGGTACCAGTGGTGCCTTGCTCAGAAGCCTCAGTGTGCCCCAGGGCAGCTGTGGCTTCAATGTAGCTCATCAGCATGTGAATGTGTGTGTGTCTCAATGATGCATGGTAGGGTAAAGTGCTTTAGAGTCCTCTGACTGCAACACCGGACACGGATTTTTCTGAACAAAAGCAAAAATCTTCAAAATAGCTAAATACTAGAAAAACTACTAAAAATACCCACTAGTTAACGAGCAGTACATTCTTATGCTCCTTTTGTTTGCCACAGGCAGGTAGACTCAGAACACCTGTTCAGACATGGCCAACAGTAGCCTGATGAAAACATCTGAATTCTTGAGGAACTCGTTTTTTGTCACATGATTTGGGCTCATTGATTACCAGCTGTAAAAGGTATACGGGGGCAAGCAAAAGCAAAACTTCCCCATTACGGAACATGACTTTACTTCGTGTTTTAAGCCAAAATAAGTTTCCAAAGTACACAGAGGAAGTGAAAACTCAAAATCTGTCCTTTGTATGTTTTTCACTTCCTTACAAGATTCCTCTAACACAGAACGAATCGGGTTAAATTAAAATGCTAAATCATCGTTAAAGCTAAGGGTAAACCAATAGTTTGTACTTAGGTAAAGAGGATGTGAAAAATGTTCCATGTGTGGGAGGTTCAATAAGAAAATTGACCAGAAAAGTTCCCCACCAACTAGGTAATGATAACTGCTGGCATGCAGCTTTTCTGATGACTCTTAATCTAGGGTCTCTGCTCTACTTAAACTGGTCAACACGACCCTTTGGTGTGTTGAGTAATTGAGATAAATCCATGTTTCTCCACATTCCTTTTTGCTGCCTGCACAAAAAGACCAACAAGGCAACAGAAAGGCAACAGAATCAGAGGTCTGGTGTTGACCTTTTTGCTTGCTACAGGACAGATAAGTGCACAGGGCCTGCTGACTGAAATTGAAACCTCATACTGCACAAGTATACATGTCATTTTTAAAGACGGCGCAGGAACCTCAAAAACCTGTTAAAATTTTAGGGTAATTCAATTCACCTGGGGAGTACAAGGCCCTGCAGTAACAGACATGTTTTCCATTAGTATTATATCTTCCTGTTCATAAAAATAGTTTCACTTTCCATTTCACCAGTTTCCAATATTTCATAAACGTTTTTATTTTTTATATTTTTTTGTGAAATAATAATTTCTCACACACAAACACCTGTCATAATTATCATTTGACTAATTAACCCGCACATGGCTCAAACTTAAAACGCCAGTACTCGAAAGTCCTGCGGTCAATCAAAGCAATCAAATGCACAATTTCACTGGGGGAAAAGCAAATCACAAATACAAAACTACCTAATCTATAAAAAGAGCATTAATTAGTTTAAATGCATCTAAACTCGTACAGTACTTTGTCAATAAACTATTTACCCCACAATAAACAGGTTTTAAACTTAGCTTACGCAATCCGTTTAATATCGACTTGTGTTTTTCACTGACGCAGCTAGCCACACCGCCCCCATGCTAACCCTTTTTAAGTCTCAAATAAACCAAACAGCTCACCTGTCGGATGATTGTCAGTTGCTGGTGTTAATTCGATGAGTTATTCAGCTCCAGCTACCCCGGTTCGCCGTGCGGTGTCTGTCGTCTGAAGTCGTTTTTCTGAAGTATTTATTCCTGGTAGCACATGAAGTGATCACATGAACGCAGCTCATGTGATCACACCGTCACCCACGCGCCCCACCCCCGCCCTGCCTGCTCTTCTGTCGCTCATCACCACTGCAAGTTAGAATCAGAAAGATGTTTTAGAAAGTAAGAAATGATAATCCTACTGACAGGAAAAGCCACTTTACACTCATTTTTAAACATTCTCTCTTGCCTCTCAAAACACTGCAACCTATTTTGTTTTTATTTTCAGCAATTAACTCTTGACATGTTTATTTACTCCAAAAACACAATTCAACGACTTAATCAACTTTTTAGAGTTTCAGGTTCTGCAGAACCTCATTATATAAAACCAGGTGTGTTGTAGCAAAGAAACATCTAAAAACTGCAGAGCAGTGGCTTCCAGGGACATGGTTTGTACACTTCTGGGGTTGATGTTTCATTATGATCACTTTATCAATAATCTTTTTTTAACCTATTCTTTTACTTCACATTTTTTTCTTCCAAAGTGTGTTAAAAAATTTAGATTTAATATTTTCCTTTTTCTGTTTTATTTCTAAAATTCCAGAACATGATTATCAGTGTATTTAGTTTTGTTTTCACACCTGAGATTGATTCACAGGCCTTACCTGTCTGATCTTTGTTTTTTTTTTATCCTGTCCAGTGTGGGGTTTAGTTTCTCTGTGTCTTTCTGTCAGTTCCAATATTTTTATTACTGTACCCTAATTATTTAGTTCTTTTAACATAACTGTATTCAACCTACATGCAGCCTCTGATGTTCGCTCCACTATGACATCACCCACATGACTAATCAAATTACAGTTTTACAAATAAAGACCAAAAATACACAGATATGAATAGTTATTTCAACATAACTGAACCTTAACAGATGCAATTACATAAATAGTTCAAATTGTATTCAACCTACATGCAGCCTCTGATGTTCGCTCCACTATGACATCACCCACATGACTAATCAAATTACAGTTTTACAAATAAAGACCAAAAATACACAGATATGAATAGTTATTTCAACATAACTGAACCTTAACAGATGCAATTACATAAATAGTTCAAATTGATGTCAGGGTGTATTTTTATGTTAAACGTTTCTTTGGAAACTGTAGCCTAGATATTTAGTGGTACTTAAACATTTCTGATTTAGTATATTTTCACACTGAAACAGAATTTTGTTGTGTGTGAATGGATGATTTCTATCATATCTGACTTTTACATTCATGTCTTGTGATTCAAAACCATTTTATTGTGAACCACAGAAAACATGCTGATCGTCTCAGATAATCTCTCTTCCTCTTTCCACATCTGTCACCTGATTCTTTAGAAAACGAAGTGAGAGAAACATACCGTAAAAACAGCAAATCACAGACATTTTTATCAAGGCAGAAACACGAAATGAGATCAAAATATTTTGTCATTTGTTTGACAGAAATTGTGTTTAGCTCACTAGGCACATTACTAGCATTCAGTCAAAAGAGAAGAATGAAAATAATTTTTTTTAACCTGACGTGTACAATTTTAAACTATTGCCTCAAATCTATACACTTGTTAGATGCGATGGCGCCCTCTTTTGGTTAAAATAAAACACAAAATCATGTGAAATGGATTAAAATACATCAAAAATAATTTCATTTTCACTCAGTCTGTGATTAAAAACAACACCGGTTCACATGGGAGCTAGCTTTACTAAATTGAAGGACTCAATCTGGGATTTTCTTTTGATCATCATGAATTAGATTTCGTATATCCGTAAAACTAACCAGCTCCAGACCAGACTAGGCAGGATTAATGAAGTATGGAGTTTATGTTCATCATCAGTTGATCAAAAATACCTTATTTTTTTGTAAACTAAATCTTACTAAATCAGTAGTTTTTTTTGGTCTTGGTTTTAAAATAAATGATCAATCATTAAACTATTATACTTAACTTTACAAACTGAAATATAAATGTGTGATTTACCTGTGAAAACACAAGTTTCATATTTATGAGGACTGATGTAATTGTTGTGCAATAAAATGTTCTGGTTTGTAATCACAAATTATTTTAGTTATGCAAAGTTGTTAATAGTAAAAATAAAGAATAAACACAGCATGAAAAATTAAATCTACTCACACACAAGTTTCTGTGATGCGATCATATTTAATTGATAAAATGAAGGAAGTTGAACCCTCCAATTTGAATCTGAGTGGTACCAGTCTTCCTGGAATGTTGTAAAATAAATGGCCTGTACTTGTAAAGCACCTTATCAAGTCCAAGAGCTCAAAATCTAAATGCATAAATTAAAAAAACATTTTTTGATAGATCAAGAAGGAATATTTAGCACTAAAACTATTCACACGTTTAAATGTTTGCCCTGCTTATTGAAAATTTGCTTTAAAAAAATAAGTTCTGGAATTTTGCTGCTCAATCTCTGCTATGAAAAAGGATGGATCTCCTAAAATTACAGCACATTAACACTCCTGCAGTCAGAAACCAGCATCAGTTTAGCTGTATTGCTCAAAAAAAGAAAACTGCTGCACTTGCATTTTCAATTACCTTTACCCTGTCTGACAGCTCTGCAATGCCAATTACTGATTTAGTCACTATTAGGTAAAAAAAAAGGTAATTTTGAAGTCTAGTAAATCAACAATCTAAGAAACCTGCACTGGAAGAAAACATCAATTATAACCAAGAAAACCGCAGTAAACTTGGGTTTTAGGACAATTCTATTTTAAAACTAAACACAAACTGAAACGTACTTTCCCATAAGTCACTTTTGTTTATTGTAGACCTGCACGTTAAGTCGCTCAGCTTTCAATTACATTTCTAGAAAATAAATCAAGTAGCTAAGAGATTGTTCTGTATCACTTTATGAGTAAACACCACCAGATCCAGACTGAGTCAGCTGCAAAAAAAAAAGAACCACCACCTTCAGTTTCCCTCTTTTTATTAACCCAAGTTAATCAGCCTTAGTAACAATGGTTTATTCAACGACTGGTTTAAGAAACAAAAACTCTCTCACACAAACACAGAACACAGTTAGTGTCCTTAGGCGTAGTACTGAAGGTTTGCCTTCTTCTTAGCCTGGACCTCCAGGATTCCCTCCATGTAATCCTCGTGGTTCAGCTCTGTGGCTCCACGACGCAGTGCGATCATACCAGCCTCCACACACACAGCTTTGCACTGGGCGCCATTGAAGTCATCAGTGCAACGAGCCAGCTCCTCGTAGTTGACATCTGGACTTACATTCATCTTGCGGGAGTGAATCTGCATGATACGAGCTCTTGCTTCCTCATTAGGCATGGGGAACTCAATCTTCCTGTCCAGACGTCCTGAACGAAGCAGTGCCGGGTCCAAGATGTCCACTCTGTTGGTGGCAGCAATGACCTGAAAAACAGGAACGTCATTACTTGGGTTAAATTCTGGATTAATAAACTTTGAAACTGTTAAGGTAGTAGTCATGTTTACCTTGACTTGCATGTTGGGCTGAAATCCATCCAGCTGGTTGAGCAGCTCCAGCATGGTCCTCTGCACCTCTCTGTCTCCTGCCTTCTCACTATCAAACCTCTTTGTGCCAATAGCATCCAGCTCATCGATGAAAATGATGGATGGGGCTTTCTCCTTGGCCAAAGCAAAGGCATCCCTCACCAGCTTGGCTCCATCACCGATGAACATCTGGACCAGCTGTGGACCTGCCAGCTTCAGGAAAGTGGCCTTGGTTTGAGCGGCGCAGGCCCTGGCCAGGAGGGTCTTTCCTGTGCCAGGTGGTCCATACATCAGGACTCCCTTGGGTGGCTGAATTCCCAGGTTTTCAAATTTCTCCTTGTGATTCATGGGAAGGACAATAGCTTCCACAAGCTCCTGAATCTGCTTATCGAGCCCCCCAATGTCACTGTACTGCTCTGTGGGGCGCTCATCCACCTCCATGGCCTTGACTCTGGAATCATACTCGGTGGGAAGGGTCTCCAGGATCAGGTAGGAGTCTTTGTTGACTCCTACCAGGTCTCCGGGCTTCAGCTTCTCGGCATCTACCAGACCGATCACCGGCAGGAAGTAGGTCTGTCGCGTCGAGGTTTTAATGACGGCGCACTTTCCTTTTCTCTGGGAGTCCAGATCCACGTTAGCTCCGTCTTCCTCCTGGTCGTTGGGGTCCACATCCAGCAGCTCGATCACATTAGAAACTAAGTAAGGCAGCGTTTTGTTCACCTTAATCTTCTCCGTGTTTTCTTTGATTTTATCCTTCATGGCCTGTAGCTCGTGCGTCACCCGGAGCACCTCGCTCTTCATAATCTTTATCTCACTGTCGAGGAGACGAGTCCGCTGAACTATCTCCTCCGTGGACATTTTTAACACTTCTTCACCGATACCATCCTCCACTTCGTCCCAAACTGATTTGTCACTCAGCGACGCCATCTTTGCTGTGCCTGGTGTGTGAACTGTGACGCAGCGGAAGTTAAAGCTTCCTGTTCCGGTTAGCGCCGATAAGCAGACTGGGGGTGTCACGGAGCAATAGCTAAGTTTGTGGACATTGTTAAATTTTAAAGGTATGTGTGTAAGTTGACTTAATATTTTGTTGTTTTCAGTCACAAACTTCAAAATTATTCGCAACTTTTTGACATTGGGAATTCGTTGTCACTAAACGTTGCTCCTTGTTGGCTAATATTAGCTTTGCGGCTAACTTCTGCTAGCAAGTGTGTTTAAACGTTTCATTTTGAAAGTTGTCAAGCAGTTCTTCTGAAATTGCAACGTTAATGCAGGACATGCTCTTTGGCATAAATGCACACTTGTTTAACAGGTTGTCTCAAGAATTGTGAATCATAAGTAGTTACACCTCCGCAGCCGCTGCAGAAAATGCTTTAAAAACTGATTTGAGAGTTTGTGTTTGTAAACCGTGTTTCTGTTGATGTTTACTTGCGCAGGATAAGAAAACTAGGAGCAAGGAGCTACGAGAACGTGTTTCTCTGGAGTCCCATCCTATTTTTGTGGCATTTTTCCTGCTCAGGCCCTAGAAACGGTCAGATTGAAAGTTCTGACTGCTCTTGTCCGGCAGTGTTGAACCTTTAGGAGCTGAAGAGATGGATCAAAACAACAGTTTACCAGCCTTTCAAGGGCTGCCATCCCCTCAGGTAATTTAAATTAGAGAAACACATTTTTTTCTTTCTTATTTTAATTCTTTTATTTCTGTGTTACTTTCTTACATTTTTCCAGTTCATTTAATATTTTTACTCAAGTTTTCAAGATGTAAAAATGTATATTTTTATACATTTGATACAACTTTTACATCTCTTTTCTTCATCCTCTGTCTTTGCCTGTTAAAAAAAAGCATTGGGACATATTTAAACACCTTGCTGCCATCAATTTGTTGAGTTACATTTACCGGAATTAATCTTGGTAACATTCCTTATTGCATGTCTGTTTAGCTGATATTTTATCCCAACAATAGTTTCATTTAAAACATTTATTTTCTAAGAGACAGACTGAATTTCACTGGCCTCAGTTTGTTTGTTGTGAACAAACACTCAGAAATCCACACACACCTGGTTTAGAAGCTTATGAACTTGACATGCTCAGCTCACTTTTCTTTTTACTGTGCAGCATCAGTCCTCTAGTTAAAAAGTTACTTTAGGCTTGGTACATTTAGTTATTCCTCAGCACAACAGACAGGCATTACATCAGCCACCATTATTGCTGGTGAGAGGGTTTTATTTTTTTGAAAATGAAATTTGAAGAAAAAGAGAAACTGTTACTGAAAGTCTTTTCTTGCCAGGATTTATGTGATCTTAATTGTTTATGCTTGTTTTTTGGGGGGCTGGTGTGTCCTTGTGCAGGGTGCCATGACCCCCATGCCTATGTTTAGCCCCATGATGCCGTATGGGTCAGGTCTGACGCCCCAGCCTGTACAAAACACAAACAGTATATCTATACTCGAGGAACAGCAAAGGCAACAACAGCAGCAACAAGCAGCAGCAGCAGCAGCAGCACAGCAGGCCAGCACAGGTACCAGACCAAATGTTGTTGGTGTTCCTTTTTATTTATTCTGAGAAATTATTCTTAAAACGCATTGTGTAATTTAATCTTTACTTCAGTATACAAGGACAAATGAAATATTTTGCTTTGCAGGTCTTCCTGGGACCTTGGGGCAGACTCCTCAGCTGTTTCATTCCCAGACAGTAGCAGGCTCAACCACAACCGCCCTCCCAGGAAACACACCGCTGCAGAACGCTCCGCTGACCCCCATGACACCCGTCACACCATCCACACCTGCTTCAGAAAGCTCTGGCATTGTACCACAGCTACAGTATGTCCCATATAAATTCTGTTGGAGTATTAGCAGCTAACGCTAAATACAAATGTGCAATCTCTATTACATAAGTCTATGATCCTTATCCCAACCCTTCTTTTTATTAGCTTTTTTTTAAATTTTGCTCTTAGAAACATTGTGTCGACTGTTAATCTGGGCTGTAAACTGGATCTGAAGACCATTGCTTTGAGAGCCAGGAATGCAGAGTACAACCCAAAGGTAAGACTAAAATATCAGCCTTTTGCTGCTCTGCTGTCTTTTGTAGCAGCTCGTAGGAGAGCTGTTTTTATTTACCGACTTTTTTCTCATCTGAAGAGTCAGATTTGCCCATTGTAATATTTCACACAGATCCAAATGAATGTCTGTACACCTAAATTCGACAATTTAGTCTAATCTGTAATAAGTTATTCCTGCTTTAATGTTTTTAGCGTTTTGCTGCCGTCATAATGAGAATACGAGAACCCAGAACCACGGCTCTCATCTTCAGCTCCGGAAAGATGGTCTGCACTGGAGCCAAAAGGTCTGAGTCAAATAATGTTTTTTGTGCTTCCTCATGCATGCAGATTTCCTTTACACTTGTGTTTTATCTTCTGGCTTTCTTTCTGGGCTAATTCTTACTCATGCTTTTTAGTGAGGAGCAGTCAAGACTAGCGGCTAGGAAATATGCACGTGTGGTCCAGAAGCTCGGGTTTCCCGCAAAGTTCTTGGACTTCAAGATCCAGAACATGGTGGGCAGTTGTGATGTGAAGTTTCCCATTCGGTTGGAGGGTTTAGTCCTCACACATCAACAGTTTAGCAGGTACGTGTTTTATTTATTAATCTTTCATAATCTTTGTGGTAAATATGTGATTGTGTTGCGGTTATTAAACTCTGAACACCGGTAAAACCCGGCAGAATCCCCCTGCAACGATGTAATTAACGGGGCTTTGTTGTCTCACAGAGCGTTGTAAAAAACGGAACTTATTCTGGTCATTGAGCTCCACGTTTGACATCACACAGCTACATAGCGTGGGGACCCTGCGTGCAACATAGTGTCTTCCTTGGCACTGAGCAGGCATGCAGCAGCAAAACATAAACAAACATGTCTGCCATGTAGAACTTTTGCTCCGTCTGTGAGAGTGATCTAAACTTTGCATCCTGTAACAAAAATACAGCACAAGGGGAAGCTTCTCTGTCATCCTGGACATGATCATCTTGAGTTGAACTGAAAATAGTAGAAGGCTTATAAGTTCTGGTCAGAAACACACTGACAAGTCTTGTATTTTGTAAAATGATTTTGTCAAAATTGGGCAATATTATTGCTCCTTTATTCCAGATCATGTAGCAAGTATAATAACAGCATTGATACATTTATGGCCAATCCATAAGCAGCAAAAAACCTGATCGGAGCATCGCTAATGTTTGCAAAGATTTAATTAAAAATGGTACATTTTTTTAATTTAAAATTCATATAATTGTGAAAGTCTAACTTGTGTTTTGTAGCTATGAACCGGAGCTGTTTCCAGGACTGATTTACAGAATGATCAAACCCAGAATCGTCTTGCTCATCTTTGTTTCTGGGAAAGTAGTGCTCACAGGTAAGGCCCGAGCTCTCAGACGGGTGTATTTTTAGATTCTAGTTAAAGTATCACCTAATAATTTGGCACATTGTTTTGGATCTCCTTTTATTTTGAAAGGATTGTAATGTTTTTATTTAAAATAGAACAAGAGATTCTGTAAGTTTTCTAGATTCATCTTGATACTGATCCATGTTTCAATCTTTTTTGTTTTTCCTGAAGGGGCCAAAGTGAGATCAGAGATTTACGAAGCATTTGAAAACATTTACCCCATTCTGAAAGGTTTCCGCAAAACGACGTAGGACCTGGGGTTTCTTTTCCACCTTCTGAAACCTGATCCTCTTATTTCATTCATTATTTAATGTCACATTTTTAATGAGAAGGTAGACTGATGCAGGTGTTGGGAGTTTTTTCATCCATCTTTCTGTCTTCAATTTTTTTAATCATCATTTTAAAGGTTGTTCTTTCACTCTGACCATGTTTATTGTGTCCTGTGGTTGCAGGTTTTTGTTGTCCCATCTCATCCCCAACTGTACATATGACTGTAAAAAATGTAAAGTGTTGTTGAGCAGAAAAGCAGTTCGACGACTAGGACTGCTGGTTTTATGTGAAGCTGTTTTAAATACTTTTATACTCTCAGCTGTTAGCATTTGTTGACCTCTCTTTAAATCCCCTGCTGTACATGATACTTGGGATTTTAAATCCTATGCTTACTCCCTTAAGGTAGAAAATAATCCTGATTAATGACTTTTTTTTTACACTCATTGGGAGTAGACGCCCATTAACTCAAGCTGAGCTAATCTTTATTTGACTGGCCAAGTTGTCCATGAATGTTTGCTGCTGCTAAACAGTTAAGTTGTTTAGAGGCGTTTGATAACTTTCGACTTTGTCTGGTTGAAGTCGTGAAACAATCTTTCTGTTGAAAGAGAGAACTGGTTTGTTGTGGTTACAGGAAGAAAGTGTTTAATGGTTAAACTTGAATGTGTGTATATGTTCTTCTGTAATTAGAATGAGAAGTGATGCCAATCTTAAAGTCGATGCAGCTCTTCAGCGGGATTTCAGTAGGCTCAATATTGATATAAGGGAAAAAAAGCTCTTATGATTAATATTAATTTCAAACCCATGCAGTATAGTTTTAAAAATGTTTTTGGTTGTTTCAAATCAGCAGAATTTTGGCTGTTTGGCCTTTGTCTAAAATTAAAACTCAAGTAGGATCACATTGAAGTCACTTGCTGGTGGTCTTATGTGTTATACGGTCAGCTAGTGACGTTTATGGCAACTAGTTAAAAGTCTGGTTTATTTAGTGACATGTTCAGTCTCCATCTTTGTCTCTTCTGTCTGATTTCTGTCCTCCCAGCAGACTCGAAGAAGTTTGGTCCATTGTTTTCTTTTCCACCCAATAAAAGTGTACATATGACTCAAGTCTACTTGGTTTTCTTTGCAGCAACATTTTACAGCTGAAGTCTCTTGCGTAAAACCAAAAGTCACCATGAAGAAATAAACTGTGAAGACTAAAATACTGAATCCCTGTATAGAAATAGTTTAGGGAAAACCTCTGGGTAAGAGTTAAAACATGTTGTAGTTGGATGTTAGAGCTGCAGAAAATACATAATTTCTCTGAATATCTGAAATAAAGTAATTTGTGTATTAAACAATACAATCATTCTTACAATAGGAATTGTGGCTTATTTGATACCCATCATAAAAAAGACAAGTCAGGATTGTCTCCCATGTAACATCAGTCAAAAGAGAATCATTTGTAGGTGATTATGTTGGAACTGACATGTCAGAATCATTAAATTTTAAGAACAAGGGTGGTATGGGCTTCTGGTCAGGATGCTTCCTGGACGCCTCCTTGGGGAGGTGCTTCGGCATGTCCTGCCGGCAGGAGGCCCCCGGGTCGACCCAGGACACGTTGGAGAGGTTACATCTCCAATCTGGTCCGGGAACGCCTTGGGGTCCTGCCGGAGGAACTGGTGGAGGTGGTTGGGGAGAGGACGGTCTGGAGCTCCCTAGTTGGGATGCTGCCCCCGCGACCCGGATAAGCGGAGGACGACGACAACGATCTTCATTCAGCTGTAGAAAGCTCCCAGCCATCCAGGTTTTAATAGAGCAGCTGTGAGTTGTTTAGCCACAACCTTTTCCAAGATCTTGGAGATGAACGGAAGTTTAGAGATGGGTCTGAAGCTGCTATGGAGAGAGGGGTCAAGACTCGGTTTTTTAAGAAGCGGGTGGATTACAGCGTTCTTAAAGTAAGCAGGGACCTGACCAGAAACCAGAGAAGCATTAATAATGGAGAGCACGCTGGGACTGTTGGACTGAAAAGCACTTTAAAACAAAGATGAGGGTAAGATGTCGAGGGGGCATTCAGAGGTCTTCATAGAATTAACTAGTTTGGTTAACTCAGGCACAGAAACAGGAGCAAAGCTATCTAGGATGATGGGCCTGGTTGGAGTTGGGAGAGGCAGCGATAAGGCTGAAGGAGAGATGCTAGATCTGACCTTATTGACTGTCCACAAAGAAAGACAGAAAGATCTCACAGTCTGCAACAGAGTGGATGGAGGCTGTAGGAGAGGCAGGAAAGACGATGCTGCTGATGGTGTTAAACAGCACCTTGGGGTTCCCTTTGCTCTGGGACACCAGGTTGGAGAAATAGGAAACCCTAGTGTCTCTGACTGCAGAGCTAACGGATGTCAGAAGATCCTTTAGGTGCAGCAGATGGACGTGGAGATGTGTTTTTTTCCACAAGCGCTCAACTTTTCTGCATTGGCGCTTTAGACTGTGAAGGCTGTCATTAAACCAGGGAGTAGGGTTCACTGCAGGAACTGATCTGGTTCTGACAGGACAGATATTGTCCAGAATGGAGAGGCAGTGCTCGTTAAACTGAGAAGTTAAGGAGTCTGGGTCGTTATCAGAAGAACAGGGTGGATCAAAAGCAGCAGAAAAATTGCTAGCTGTGCTCTCATTAAGAAAACGAGAACTAACCATACGGCGAGCAGGAGGTGGGGACGCAGAAACTGACAAGTTAAAGAAATGCAATGGTGATCTGAGATATAAACGTCCTCAGGACAAACACTGTCAGCATTTAGACTCAGGGTAAAAACAAGGTCCAGAGTGTGCCCCCTGGTGTGTGTGGGGCCAGAAACATGCTGGGTAAAGCTGAAGGTGTCCATAAGGCTGGAGAAATTCATGGCAAAGTGATCAGAGGGATCATCAACGTGGATGTTAAAATCACCAACAATCACCAGTCTGGACAGCTTCACAGTGGAGGATAGAAAGTCACTAAACTCCTGAAGGAAAGAACTGTTTGGACCAGGTGGACGATAGACCACAGCACAGTAGAACGGGTCCTTACGCCCGACTTTAATCAGCTGCAGTTCAAAGGAAGCAAAGTGACCAGAGGTTGTAGAGCTACATGGAAGATGGTCTCTGAAAACAACAGCTAGGCCTCCACCACGACCAGAACCCCGGGGCTGGCTAAGAAAAGAATAACCACTCAGGCAGAGTTCAATCAGACCAGAATAATCAGATGTTTGCTGCCAAACTTCAGTCAGAAACAGAAAATCCAGGTTTTTAGAGAGAATTAAATCATTGAGCAGGAAGGACTTATTGTTAACAGAGCAGGTGTTTAATAGAGCCATGCTGAGTGAGGTGGAGGAATCAGAAACTACAGAAACAGCTGGAGTTAGTGGACATAAATTAGCAGGGTTAGATCCACGGTGTTTGTAAAAACCACTTGTGGAGGGAACAGGAGGGGAAACCACTGAGGAATGCGGATAAGCCGACTTTCAAAAACTTGGACGGAGAAACCGTGCCGCAACGTGGCCTGGCGGGAATGCAGAAGTGGCGCTCAAGTCGCCAAACAAAGGACACGCTGATGTTTACTACCACTAGAGGAGGAAGGAGACAGGAGACAAACAGAAAACATGCAGATATTTCTTCTTTGCAAAATTTTCAATAACTGTATAATCTTTTAAATAATCCTGCATTACTTTCTGTTGTAGTTTGACAGTGGGATCTTTTTGATAGCAGACTCACTTGCCCCCACTGTCCCACAGATTGACAACATTTTTGTTTGTACAGACAGAAGAAAATACAGGAGCACTGTGAGGAAGAGAGAGACAGAAAAAGAGGAGAAAAGTGAAAAGACAGAGGAAGAAAGACATATGGGTGAGGCACAACAGGAAAATCATCAGGTATGAGTGTTTGTGATTAGGTTATAAAACTATTTTGATCTGGAGGTAAATGCTTTTGTATCAACATAAGTAAGTGATTTTTAATATTGACAATGTTATGAAATATCTAAAAAGTCCAACTGGGTGACAGTAATGTTGGGGGAAGTCGGGTGGGGTGGGGAGTGGGGGCCCTAAGCACATTGTGCCCAGGGTCCCCTGCAATGATAATCCGGCCCTGGCCCTGCAGTACCACATTAAGGCGGAACCACTTGGTAAATGTGGAGGACACTCACTCTGACAGATTTGGATGCTGCGCTGGTGCTGCCGTTAAAAAAAACAAAACTACATTCCACTATAATCGATTATGGTGTACTCTTCTACGATGCAGAATCGTTTATGTCCACATCCCGATGCATCGATTATTTGATTATTTTCCTCAGCGGTACGCATGACTTCGCCGTGCCGCCACAGCCCTGCCCTCTTTTGAAAACTCCCATAAAGTGACGCCAAGCAACCCCCACTTGTCTTGAGTTACCAGCTACAAATTTGTGGTGATTAAGTGAAATGGGTCGATCTGGGACCTACCACAGTAAAACTTGACCTTTTTGGTCCTGAGGGGGCAGGGCTTGTGTGTTGTCATCATTCGACCATTCAGTTTATTTTGTGGCTGGATGTCGAATGACCACAGAAAATTTTGTAACTCTACTCTTTTCAAGAATGAAGTTACATACTTCGGCCATTTATATTTTTTGGGCGAGTAGTCCAACTTTGAGGCCTGGCCACGCCCCCTCAGCATATACGAAAAGTCAGTTTTATTTTTTCTATTTGATCACTCATCCCTTCTGAGCAATTTCCCACAACTTTTGAGAGGATTGTGCAAAAAATGATTGAGTAAATCAATCAGAAGTGGACCCTAGAAACGGCCAAAACGGGGTCAAAGTCACTACTTCAAACCAAAATGGCCAACTTCCTGTTTGATGTTGACCATGGTTGCAAGAGGCTTTTCTGTGTGGACTGTTGAGGACTACAAGTGTATGGAGGGGGGTATTTTTTTACATTCTAGGGGGAGCGGTGGAGCTAGTTTTATTGCGATTTTTTTTGGGAACTTTAAAATAAAAAAAATTTACACCACGCCTGACATGTGTGCAAAAATTCCTGAGTTTTCGGGTATGTTAAGGCCTCCAAAAAGCCAATTTACTTGGCGGAAGAAAAATAAACAGAGCAGATACAATAGGCCTTCGCAGAGCTTTCGCTGCTCGGGCCTAATAATAACAGTTAAGAAGAAGTAATAATTGTGAGAACAGACACCAAACCAGAAGCTATACCATTTATTTGTGTTGCTTCACTCCTCACTGTTTATCTTTGTTTGCTTTGGAGGCTGAAGTGGAGTTATTGACCCTCAGTACGAACACAAACATGGCTCACAGACGGGAATGCTGCAGATCTGGAGACGGAGCAGGATGGCAGCTGGAGAAACTCCTCCTTTTTATCTTCCAACTTCAGTGGGAGGAGACTGACAAGTCAGAATGACATCACAGGTACAAGGTGTTCACTGTTCTGCAGCTCAAGTAAAAATAGAATCAACAGAATGGGTCAGCTGATCATTTTTGGATTCAGGAGCTTTAAACAGTAGGTTATTGTTGGATATATGTATTTATTCATTTTTGTTTATTCATTTATTTTTTTGGAAAAGGTCATTTTTGATTTGCAGAAGAAACATTTTTTAGGGTTGTGATTTTTAGAATCACATATAAATAAGAACAAACTTTTATTAAAAGACTAAACTCTGCATCATCTCCTGCCATCTTCATTGTGGCATCAGCAGAGCCTGATGAGCTGCATTCCACAGCTTCACTCCTCCTCCATCTCCTCCTCCTGAAATGTGTGTGTGTGTATGTGTGTGTGTTTTTGAAAGTGTTACAATCATTTTCATTCAGTTTTCCACCAGGCCAGATGCTCAGAGATAACAGGATCCAGAATCCTGAAGCAGCCTGATTTCCTCGTTACCTGAAACAGGTGAGTCTAATGATCTCAGAAGCAGACACTAAAGAGTTTGACTTAAACTATGACAAGATTAGATTAGATATTTTAATAAATATCGTTCTGTACATATAATTATTCAATTTAATTCAAAATATTTTAATTTTAATCAAATAAAATCTAAATACAGAAGAAACATAAAGCTGATATAACGGAATATAATCTTTAAATTTTACACAAATCCCTTTAAAACCCCTTTAGCTGAAATTTATGGACAGTCACGTTAAGATTCAAATATCAAGTAAAACCAAGATGGTTGTAAATAAACTTTAGTCATTTTTCAGATATTTTTTTAATTCACTTAATTAAATAGAAACAGTAGAAATCCAAAACTAAAGTGTGAAACTTCAACATGAACAGTTTGGCTTCAACAGGATGTCATGAATGAGTGAAACTATACATAAATGTCTGAAGACCATTTCATTTATGATATAAAATAACTTTAAACCCTTTAAGAGTAACGCAGATGTTTTAAACACAGATTTTATATCTAAATAAACAATTTAGTTTGTGACACTGAAACTGATGTGAAACTCAGTAAACAGAGAGTGGAGGCATGTGTGGGCGGAGCCTAACTCCTGCAGGAATGTCAGCGTGTTCTGCAACATTCCTCCTTTCAGGAAACCTGTGTGTCCACAAATAACACATGTAGGTTTCACTGTTGCTTCCCACGGCTCACACGCAGCCACCTGATTCACCTCTGACGCACGTGCACACACTTCAGGTATTATCTTTAATTATTAACTCTTTGACTTTTATGGCACTGATGTAACTTAAATACATTAAATGTTCAGATGGAAACCCCTAAAGATTAAGTTTCCTATATAGATAATTTTGTTCTGAATGTTTATTTTAGCTCAAATAACTGTAGAGCCAAAGCCTGGGGAAGTCTTCTGTATAAAAACTTCCTGAACAGCCTCTGTTCGGAGAATTAGAGTTTACATTCTTCAGGACTAATCAGCTAATGGCTCAACTGAGTACCTGAACTGGAGTAAGTATTCGGAAATGGACTGGTAGAGTTGCTGCTGATTGGCTGTTACTCAGTAGAAATTATATCAGAACATGAAGCATAAAATAAATAAATAAACACCATTGGTAAAACTGTAAAAGTTGATGGTAAAGCAGAGTGAAAGGAAAATAAAAGAAATCGAGTTGATGCTGCTGCTTTAAATTCACCATTTCTAAACTTCCAACACCGAAAAATGCGATGGAAATCCCCCCATATTGGTGTAATTTTGTGTTCTCCTACAGACAAACTCTGGGTCATTTAAAGTGACAACATATCCTTAATTAAACTTTAAGCTAGAGCTTTAACACCAGTCTCAGTTGGGTTAGAAACTTGACCAGTTTCATATCTGACACTACTCTGCAGCCCATCTGCTGACCAAAAACTGCAATAGGTACTTTTGTGGAGGGGTAGGTGTTCTAGGGGGTACTCTACCTGTTTTACGGTTGTTTGCTGTAATGCTAGCGGTTAGCATTTTCAGTTTATCGATCGTCATTAAAAAACACAAATAAAAGAAAAAGAAGTTAGCTTTTTCTGGTGGCATCATGGTGGAGCCTGGAAGTAAAAGTAAGAGAGTAATGTCTTTGGGGGTGAAGCAATGAGCTAAAAGCAGAGTAAACATCAGTGCAACCTACAGTTTAAGGGAGCTAAAGGAAGCTACAAAATCACAAACTGGTGACCAGCTTTGTTGCTACAGAACTTGTAAGAAATAATATTTTTTGTCCAAAAGTGTTGCTCTTTTTACTTTGTGTTTATTTTAGCTTGTTATTAGCACTAGCTACAGCATGCTGCATCAGGGTTGTTTACAACAGTTGTAATTCCACTTTCAACCAGTAGGGCAGAGGAGCAGGAACCTGCTCACTGTTAATTTAATGTCAAATTATATGTCAGAAAGTCATACTTTTAGTCCGCGGAATAGATTAAATTATGGTGTGCAATGACAGAATAAAACTTTTAATGTTATTAATTCTATGGACACCTTTTGGGGCTGATCAGTGACCTTACTCACTGGCAAAACATTCATTATATGCTAACGTCTTAGCAAAGTCCTGAAAGTGACAGTTTTTTTACAGAGACACAACCGATGAGAGGATCGAGACAATGTATTTTCCCCATCACCTTTCCTCCCTCCCAGAATGTTTTTATAGTGAAAATACAGCTATTACAGTTATTTCAGCTGTATTGTTTATATATTCTTCTAGATTTGAGCTCTGGATGAAGAGCTACATTTAGATTTTGACTGTGACATTTATGTAATTAAATAATCACATAATTTTTAAATAAACTACTGAGTTTTTAGGATGAAGCCCATCTACTTAGCTGAAATCAGACTGGCTGTTAGTCTATCAATCCTGAAGAATGTAAAGCCTATTTCTCTTTGAAGGCTGTTCAGGAAGATTTCTACAAGTACCGTATGGATTATTTATAACTTTTAAACAAAAACTCTGAAAATACCCCCAAAAACAAATTAGTATGAAATCCACAATTACTTATAAGAATACATTTGAACATAACATCGTTCCTTTGAAAACAGAACTTTAACAAAATGCTCTGAAAGATGTCATTTTAATCTATGTCATTATATGAGATGATTAAATCAGAACGAGATGTCTTCCTTTGAACATCTTAGGTGTGTTCATGCTGTGCCGTGGTTCTAATTCCATGCTGTCGTTCTTTTTAAAACACAGAAACAGTTTCGTCACCTGTTTTGTCACATGCGACATGTTTTAAAAAGAACGACAGCATGGAACGAGATGTCTTCCTGCTGCTCAAACTAAATCTAATTCTATCAGGGTGTTTTACTTTTCTTCTCTAATTTATTCAGATTTACTTTATTTTCAAAATTAGATTCAAAACAATAATCTTAAATAAAATTGTTCACAAAAACTATCAAACCCCAAAAAAAAAAAACATTAAAGGCAAAATAATAATAATTGTATACAGATAATTATGACTCAGAAACAAGTAAAACACTCCAGACAGGATCCAGAGATCACAGAGGAAAGGGATTTATAGCTTTAAATGTTTATGGTGATAACTTCCTGTTATCCTCCAGGTCCTGACACATCTGGTGGAGTCTGATGGAGCTGAAGGTGTGGGTGGACGGAGCACTCCGGGTGGTGTGTGGGCTTTCCCAGAATACTTCCTGTCAGGATGTTGTCATATCTCTGGCCCAGGCCATCGGTGTGTTTCTGTTCTTCATCAAAGCAATAAGAACATTTTTATTTCTGAAGAGAAACATAATTGGATTATTTGACGTAAACTCTGAAATTTGTTCAGTTTATTTTAATTCATTTAGCACTTTTTCCTCACTAAGGGTAAAAAAAAAATGTTATATTTTGTTCTAAAAAAAAAGTCCCAAATATCTCCATCTCTGTGTTTTAAAACTCTGCCACCATCTAAAAACCCTTTTCTTAAGATTTATTGTAATTTATCGTATAGTTACAATCTTAACCGTCATTTTGCTTGTGCAGGTCAGACGGGTCGGTATGTTCTGATCATGAAGGTCAGAGGAACAGAGCGGCCCTTGGTTGCTGATGAGTGTCCTCTTCAGCAGCTGGTTCAGTTGGGTCAACTGGCTTCAGAAGTTCAGTTCATCCTACGGAGGAACGGTTCTGTCCTCCGCAATGGTCCACGCAAACCCATCAAAGAGAAACATCCTCCTAAACTGGGACCATCAGAAGCAATCAATCACAAAGGGTCTCAAAAAACTCTCAGCTTCTCAACTCTTCCAAGGAGGACTAAAAGACGAAAGAACTCGTCTTCATCACTGGTGGATACTGCAGACACTTTTGTGTCTCCTGTGACTCCTACAGACCGGTCTCGCTCTGTAGATGCTCTTCCCTCTGGTCCCCCAAAGGAGGAGACCTTTAGGGAGATTCTGCAGCAGCATAGGAGGCTTCATGAGCTGAAGGATCAGATTAAAGCTCTGGAGAAGGAGACTGAGCTCTGGGAGCAGAAGATAACATATGCTTCAGTTCCTGATCCAATCCCAAACCTTACACAGGAACTGGAGGAACTGGAGTTCCGACTGAAGCAGAACAAGGTAGAACTGATGTATGGAGAAAACTGGGAGAAAGAGATGAAGGTTGAACTGGAACGAGAACAAGGTAGAGATCAAGATCTGTTTTCACTCTCATCACCAGTGTTCTCTCGATTTTCTAAAACAAGAGTCTCTGGTTTTCACAGAGATGCAGAGACGCCTCCGGGAGATCCACTTATCTATAGAGCAGCAGAGCTCTGAGATCCAGGTGCATCAGACCAGTTCTGCAGATCTGGAGAAGGAGTTAGAAGCTATGGCCCAGACAGCGGGTCCTGAGCCAGAGAGCCGGTCCACAGATGAGGCCCTGAGGTCACTGACCCAGGAGCTGCACAAACGTCTGCAGCTGGGAGAAGAAATGGATGCAGCTTTAGCAAAGACGCAATGGAAGCTGCAGACTGCAGAAGAAAGGGTAAAGGTATCACCCTGCAGCTAAGGCTCCAAGTAAAGGAGCAGTGACACAAATCATCTGGAACAGCAGCTTTTCACAACAATCAAATTAATAGCTTCACTTTTGATTAATTAAAAAAGGCAATTAAACAATAAAATACCTTTTTACATTTCAGTTACTAAAACTGATGTCAGTAAAAAAAAGAGTGATCTGAACGTGTATCTGATTGATTCTTGGCTGTTTCCTGCTCTTCTAGCAGCTGACATCTGAGTAGTTTTAGCTTGTTATGATTCAAAAACAGGTAAAAATGTTTGACTTAATGTAAAAGGAAGAAGAAGAAGAAGAAGAAATGTGAGAAGCTGATAAGAGAACCTGCTATCGGGAAACTAAATAACTGAGATCAGCTGTGAAGTAAAACTGAAACAACTGGCTTAAGAAAATAAAACAGGGAGTAAACAGAAAACCACATAACTAAATAAAAACTAACTTCTGATGAGACTAATTTTAGTTTGACATCCTAAAACTTTTGTCCAGCAGCAGCAAACTAATCAAGGTTAACTGGTTTATTCTATAGAATTTATTGAAACTTTCATTTAAATTGACGTAAAAAGCCTCACTAAACTAAACAATATAAAACAAATTTGAAAGATAGTCAAATAATATTTACTTCATTGATGTTACCTAATGATAATGGATTTTTGTTTACATAATTTATAATCTACATTACGATATAACCATTATTCCTTTAAATGTTTTAAAAATATTCAGAAAAATCTTGGTTTAGAAATATAATCAACATATTTTTTCTTGACTTTCAGCAACGGTTAGTTCTGATGCTCCGGTGCATAAAAGAAAAACAAAGATCCTCAATAAAGTAAAACTACACAGAAACATGAATTGTAACAGTGCTAGCAGGGTTTAGTTGTGATGCTGTTGAATAAATGAGGATTCCTGACAACCTCTTCTCCTTTCTTGTGGGATTCAGGGCAAGTTGGAGGTGATCGAGAACCTGAACAAGGAGCTGAGGCAGTGTGACCTGCAGCAGTTCATCCGGCAGACGGGCGCCCCTCTGCTCTCAGAGCAGAACAACAACTATCTACCTGTTAATCAGGTTTATCTCAGCAATAATCGCATCAGGAAGTAAAAACCAGACCAGGTGTGTTTAAATCACCTTATCCAGTTCTTATGGAAAACAAAACAATTTACTCCAACTCTTCTCATGTGGATTAATAAAAATAATCTGTTTAAAAATGAAAATGAATGGACACAAAACTGTTTTCTTTCTTTCAGTTGTCAGACAGAACAGAAATGTAGAATTCCTATCCAGACGAGAGTCTTTAAAAATCGGAAGGAAAATAATTTTTTGTTATGAATATTTTCTACTTGCCACTTGAAGTCTATGTCTTTGTATAACTGTGATGATATCACTTTTTGTACACGTGAAGGAAGTTTTTTTGCATTATTTCTTTGTAATAAAGTTCACTTTGTGCAGCAGTTCATCTTTACTCCACTAGAGTTCCTCAAAGATTCAGATAACAAGATCATTTGAACGTGTTCCAGGTTTGTTCATTAAATATAAACGTTTCTATATTAACATTTAAGAGGAGAGGGATTATTCAGACGCATAATCATGTAAACAGCATAACCTTTCTCATTCTGATGAGAATTAGCGCTTCTGACATAGCCGAACTGTAAATATTAGAATTTCAGTTTGGTTTATTCCTTTAGGACTTTTTTTCTTTTCTTTTATATATTAAAAAAAAAGCTAAGGAAAACAAATCAAGCAACAATAAATAAAAAAAGTGAATTATAAACTGCAGTTTTTAATTTGGGATATATTTTATTAACTCTAAGACTTAATGGTATTATTTCAGGTGGTGCTAACATTCTTCATGGGATAGATATTTTATTCATTTATTCAATGCAGGTCTGCAGACTCCTATTTGTTCTCCTCCTCTTAAGCGGTTTCTTTATTTATTCTTCTTCCAAGTGTTCTATATCTGCAGCGTACCCAAAGGTCAAGTATTCACATAAAAAATGGCCAGAAATGAACTTTTAATTTCCAGGCACAAACTGCGTCACACATCCAGGGACGCATTACATCTGTCTGGCCTCCAAACAAGAAAAGCAAGGATATACGACCGTGCAACCGAATAAGTTAGCCATAATAAGTGCTTTCCTTATCTTTGCGGAAGACGAGAGTTTCTGCACTTTCACTCTGAATAAAGTTCATCTTCCTTGAATCATAAATGACTTTACAACTTTATAAGTTGATATAATCAAATGTGTTGAATGAACAAGATGTTTCAACCCCAAAGTGTTTGAATAATCTGTGCATTAATCAATGATGTGTTAAAAAGAATATTTTTCCTGCAGTGATTCATTTCAGATCTTAAACTGCACCAGATCAGTGTTTGTTGATTTAACGAGTTAATTTATTTATACTCATACATCATAAGATTAATACTAAGGTTTTAACATTCACTTCACATAAATGTGTAAAACATTTCCACTACACACTGAGAATTAACCTCTGAGTATCTGGGTGAAGGTGTGACTTCTGAGGTATTTTGGTAACGCCTCTTAAACGTGTCAAATTCTGATTTGCCAAATTTATAAACAAAAGTTGATAAATATAGGAATCACTTCCTGTTCTGGTTAGTTCTCCCGCTGCCTCCTGGTTCGGCCGACCGGTGAGCAAGCATTTGGAACCATCCGCTCTTTTGACCCCAAGGTCAAAGCCTCTCTGCAACGCTTGCAAGTGATATAAGATAACGGCTTTTTTAAGAGCCACCGATCAGCCTCAGATGCAAAATAGACATTCCAGCTTCCTGCCATCACCTGAAGATAACCCAGACTAGAAGGCCCGTACTCTGAGCTGGCTACGGGTTCCGGTACCAGAGGTCCACGCCATTGGCAGTGTCCATCTCGACCTCCTGACCCCCCGGATCGCATGGGGATCTTCACACAAGGGTGCGTAGATTGGCAAAAATTGCGTCGGATGGTTTTATAAATAATTTTTAGCTCATCAAACCATACAGCCAAACTGATTTTACAACCCAGACTTTACAAGCTCTCAGATACTGACAAGGTTTTGCCAAAACATCTTGCTCACATTTATCATCTGTTATCTGTACAACCATCATTTCATTCACACTTTGTCATGTATTTTTATTTAGTTTAGGAAAAGAGAATTCAAATTTTTTTACACTACATTCTTGACTCTGTCTGAATTAATGTGGTGTGTGTTCCCTGAAGAGACAAAGGAACTAGTCTTCTGATTATTCATTCAAAGACCAATCAGATTGATATTTCATGTTTATATAGAACATCACATCTTACTGATCATTTCATATATATGTATATATATATATGTATATGTATATACATATATATATATATATATACACATCAGTATATTTATGTAAATGTATTCTTCATGGGATATATATATATATATATATATATATATATATATATATATATATATATATATATATATATATATATACATATACACGTAGTCATTCCTTAACACTACATATCTAAATATCTAAAGGTATAGGTCCAGTAGGGAATGCCAGACCTCTCTTTCCACAGCTTCAGCTCCTCTTGGATGATCCTGACATGTTCCCAGACCAGACAAGAGATTTAATCCCAGTCCAAGGTCTACTCTCCAGAACCTGGAAAACCTCCAAAGGGAGGAGACCAAGAGGGATCCTGATCAGTGCTGCCTCAGGTGACTGATGAGGGGGATGAGCTCAGAGTATAGCTCCTTCTCCTATTTCTATAGGCTGAACCTGGTGTAGCATTAAAATCTGTCACCCTGTTAAGCCCATTTCCTTGCCCATCTGTGGCCCAGTCCCAATACTCACACTCCCACCTTTGCACCCTTCTATTGAGCATTCCATTTCAGGGGTGCGAGTGCATAGGGTGTCGCGTTCCTCAAATGTGGAAGTTGACCATGCCCCTTTTACACCCTTGATCCGTACATCACCCAAGTCTGCATCAATGCTGAAGGCTGAACTATTCTATTCTATTCTATTGTAGTGAAAGCTGCTCTATGAAACATCTCCAAAGCTCAGGTTCTGTTAATCCAGGGATCAAACATTTAATCAGCTGATTATTGATCTAATAATTGTTATAACACACAACAACCCACTCCTGTGTGGTAAGTTTTAGTTTCTATCACACAAGTCGTCTCACTCATCAGCTCATCTGATCATTATGTAAGCTGTCACCATCCAGATGACTCAGCATATTTCCTCTGATCCAAGCTGCTGTTACATCATCTGACGTAGGTCATTATTTGTTTGACTGACCGGTGCAAAAAACAAAAACAAAACAAAAACAACACAACAGCCTGAGTGTTTTTAAAGATAAGGTTGAATTTCATTTACTCTAATTTTTATTGTTTCTTCAGATTTTAACAGCAAATGTTAGATTTGGCCTCACGAGCTGGTTTAATGTGAACCTTCTGTGATGAGTAGGGCAAAGCCGGTCTCGGTGTCCATGCAGGACATGAGCTTGTTTCAAACAGAGGATTCTTATGCCAACCTGCTCCTATCAGAATATATTAAATAATCTGGATTAATCTGGAGACCCTCATGCTTCATCATTGCAAGGCTGTCTCTCTGAAACGAGTAAGGACCTTTTGAACACACACCTAGTTTTCTGTCCCTTGGATTCCTGCAAAACTCCATTCATGGTTGTTTTCAGATATGTGAAGTGTTTGTTAATGAAAAAAATGAAAGCATTAAATCAAATAAATGTGTAAAGCAGGTTTTTATTTAACAGGAATGAAATATGATGCAGGGATTCTGGAGTCCAGGCATGAGGAGACAGGGTCACACAAGGTCAAATCCAAAAATCTCTAAAGGCATTTCATGTCTGTAGACATAAATCGTGTTTCCACCTCTGATTCTGTTTATAAAGCAGAACGGATGAAACATAAAACATAAAGATGCTTCAGAAGGGTTGAAAGTTGAATTACTGCAGATCTGAACAGTTATGTAATCATTTATTATCCTCATCCTGTTAATCCCGACCAGACAAGCTATTTCACCACCTGGGTTTTATTTGATCTTTTTACTGCCTGACAGAAGAACAGAAAGATTTTTACACAATTAGAAATAAAACAAAATGTTTTAGTAGGCTTTGTTTAATTTTCATGAATTCAGCAACACCTGGAGTTTAAATGCTATGGATTAAATTTAAAAAATAGCAAAAAGGAACCATAATAATTATGCATTACTGAGTTTTAGCACTTTAAATTACAGGCAGTTGTAGATAAAATCAGATGGAAACCCTCCAGATCTGCAGACGAGAGGATTAGGGATTAATCTGAGCTCTGGGAGGAGTTTGATCCTTTCAGGTGCATAAAAGCAGGCGATGAGATGATGAGACTAAAGAAACCCTGCAGGAAGAAAGAGGACGCCTTCTTTGTCTTGCAGCTGCTTTTTTAGTTTCTCCTTTGCATAAATTAATAAATAATCCTACAAGAAAACAAGTAAGTTCATTTAAATATTAAATGTAGACATTCTAACCTTGATTTTTCTGAAGATTAACAATTCCAACTTGCTTTATTTATTAAAACTGTTAAATTGCATTTTCAGAACTTTAGTTCATTAAATAATTAACTTATTTATCTTTAGAAGGTCAACTTTAATGTTTATTAAAGCCGTTTAAATCTAAATTACTGACAAGTTGATAATTAGTCCAGATTGTTATAAATCATAGAAGTGATTTGAAGCTTTTTTTTCTTGTTGAGGGTTTAAAAAATGACTGAAATATAAAATGAGGTGCAGGTATATCTTATAGAAGAATAAATGTGATTGTGAGAAATAAGGAAATGAAACAGCATTTATTCGTTACGATCCAAAGTGCAGAATCTGAACCGATCAACAGTGGAAGACACCAAACCTTCTCCTGCAGAGCTGAAACTGAAGGAGAACCGTCAGTTTAAGAGCAAAGCTCCCAAACCAGGACAGAAAAGGTGAGTTGCATCCGTTTGGATTCAAACCAGCAACTTTTTAAGTAGAACATCTGTTTAACATGTTTGTTTGTGTTGAAGCTTCGAGGGCAGCTTGCCAGGGATGGAGGGCTTTGAAGGTGAGAATGATGCTCTGTCTAAAAATCCATCATGTTCAAAATATTCCTCACGGTCCTGCTCCACCTCTTCCTGTAGATTCTGGGCTGATCTGTCCGTGGGAGGAATTTGGTGACATGGAGCTGAGTGAAGTAGCTCAGTTTGGAACAGTCTAGAACCTCCAGAGGGATGAAGATTCGACCGGAGAACTTCTAAACATGCTGATGAAAATGTGTTTGCAACAAATGTTTCTACAGCAGCAAATCAGGATGCATCCATAAAACTGTCCTAATTTACATGATTCTGTAAACAACAACATGCTTCATAATCTCTGATTAGTAAGCATTAAAATTATTATGGAGACGAGACAAAAGTTTTACCTCCAGAAGGAAAAAAACATTCATTTATTTTTTTTCTTCTGATTTTTACATATTAGAAAAGTTTTGTAATAAAATTTCCCTGATCAATGAGTTTTCTGTGTTTCATTGTTAAAATTGGAAATCAGTCAGAGTCACATCCTAAATAAAAAGTAAACACGCATCAGAACTGCTGACTCACCATTTAAACTCTTTCTTTCCTTCTTCAACTTTCTTCCAAACATGTTTTTATTTTTCCTTCTTAATAAAATAATTTGGATTTTTATGTGTCTATATTTTTGTTTTTAAAATTGCTTGGTTGCATCAACAGCCTGCTGCTAGTCGAGGGCTGCGAAAAATCTCAGAGGGTCACAAACGGCCTTATAGATCTGCTCAGCTCCATGATTTCTGCAGACACACTATTTTGCATGTTATTTTCTCACACACCAAACATGGTCTCACATTGTTATGGAAACGTTACATTTGATTACCTTAGTCCTATTAACAGACCTATTAACTGAATGTCCTGAAAGCATTCACACACACACACACACACACACACACACACACACACACACACACACACACACACACACACACACACACACACACACACACACACACACACACACACACACACACACACACACACACACACACACACACACACACACACACTCTCTCTCTCTCTCTCTCTCTCTCTCTCTCTCTCTCTCTCTCTCTCTCTCTCTCTCTCTCTCTCTCTCTCTCTCTCTCTTATCCACACACTCAGAGATATTTACACTCACATGCCAGCAGTCAGCTCCTGTCATGCTTCCAACAGTCATGTTATAATCTCAATTAATTTGTCAGTAACAGCTGATCAAAGTTGCATTCCCAAAAATGGCACTTTCTGTTTTTTTTAAATATACACATTTAAGATAAGATGACCATATTTGATCTCACAGCAAGAATGCACAAACAGGAAGTGATTGAATGTCTGCACTAAAATAAAAGCAACAAACAGCATAGGATTTACTAAAAAAGAAATCCGAACAAACTTGTGGTCTCATTGATTCTCACATTTGCATCCTTACATGGAAACTTTCAAAAACACACCTAGAATATAATAGCTGCACCAAAAGTGTGAAATTGGTTTTATTTCTTTTCAAATTCAAATGGACATTTAAAAAGACCCATGAAGTTAGTCAATTCTTGGAAAAGTGAACCTACAAAAATGTGCGCATCCAGATCCCTTTAAGCCATTTCAGTCAAGATCAAAGAAAGAGGAGCAAAACAACGAGACCCTTCACTTACGTAAAAAAGTGAGTGAAAGTCGACATTTTCATTTGTAATAAACACACAGTGATGCAACATTTGTGCTCCTGATGTGAAAAAAATAAAAAAAAATAAAACCAGAGTTCTGAAAATAAATCCACCTGGGACACCAGAGTTGTTGAGATAAAATTTTCATGTTTGCTGCAATTAATGTTTTCATTATACTGAACAACTTCAATGCATTCCTGTCTTTCCTTGTGTATGGAAAATAGAAAAGCCTTTAGAGAAGCTTCCAAGCACCAGAACTGACCAAACAGACAGTTTGTAAATCCACACACTTCCTTTTAAACGCTTGGTTATCGAACATGACGCCATGTTTCAGCCATGTGTTGGGTATCCCAACACGGTCCAAATGTTTTAAACAAAGATACAGGAACAGCAAAGTGTTAGGTCACCAATTAGACCAGCGAGAGGCTTTTCCAACAGATGAACTCTTTCTGAGCCTTTTCCCATCTTCCACCACTTTTCTTTTCACCTCAGGTCCCCACAGATGGATGGACTATGTGTTTAGGGATGATCAGCCTAGAAGCTGAGCTGTCTGTCCAGAGTCTGAGGAAACTTTGACTTTATAAAAGTTGAACGAGATCGCAGATACCAGTGGTCTAAATGAAATCCACAGGGTATTTGCTCTCCCTTAGAGATACGGTTAGAAGCTTGCTCATCCAGGAGGGGCTTGGAGTAGATCCGCTGCTCCTCTACATTGAGAGGATTTAGTTGAGGTGGCTCGGGTATCTGGTTAGGATGCCTCATGGATACCTCCCTGGTGTGGTTTTCTGAGCACGTCCAACCAGGAGAAGATCCTAAGGGAGACATAGGACATGCTGGAAGGACTATGTTTCTGTGCTGGCCAGGGAACGTCTCAGGATTCCCCTGGAGGAGCTGGCCCAAGTGGATGGGGAGAGGGAAGTCTGGGCCTCTCTGCTTAGGCTGCTGCCCTTGCGACCTGACCCCGGATAAGTGGATGATAATGAATGAATGGATTTACAAAATGTCCCTAGAATAGTTCCAATAATATTCTTCTTGATGAACAGAAGTATGTTTAGAGTGAAGTCACTGCAGTGGGACTGAATCGATCGATTCCACCATAAACCTGAAGGACAGTTTCACAGGACCCTGTCAAAATGTCATGCATCAAATAACAAAATCAAATATAAAGTCTCTTCAGTTCTAAAATTACTCTGAATATATGTAAAACACAAAAGCACACAAATGAGAGAGCCATCAGGCCTTTGCTGCTGAACTTTTTAAGTCATCAGCTGCAACCAGTTGGTCTTTCATGTCTCAGTCTGTAAAAAAATAACGAGGCAACATGGAGGAAAGGAAATTGACTTCATTGTTCATCTGACTTGTTGTATGTAGTGGAAGTCACTTCTCTACCCTTTGCTCCCTCTGAAACCCTGGACAGCCTGCAGGTACCCACACCCAGGGCTGGCCATTCCAGCTTTAAATCCTCTGACTGATTGTTTCTGACGAGTGAGACCTCAGCGCCAGCTGGCCGCTGCTACACACTCTTGATTTGTACCTGATTTCATGGTCCACTCCTCTCTCCATTGGGGGAAAATTACAGAGCGGGACAAATGGCATCACGTATGCATCTGGGAACAGCTGTGACTGCTGCCCACTCATCGTCACCACGTCAACATGCACCCAGCAGACCTGAACAGCTACCAGGTGACACCGGAGACAGCTGTGGCTGGAATGACAGCTGTTGACGGTTAAACTAAATCCTTTGCAATTCGATTTTTCCGGTTAATTGTCTTTGTTTTATGCGTAAAGCTTAAAGAAAAGAAACCGGCTTCAATTATGTATTTGTTTAACATGATCACCTAATTCTTCATAAGAATAACATCACAGTCATTTATAAACATACTTACATACATAATTTTACTAGATTACAATCATAAAAGAAAAATGTATGACTTTTAGCGCTAAAACATACTTATTAATGTGCAAGAATCAAACGTTGTTTTCTTTGGAAAGACTATGCACAGAAAACAAAAAACAAAACAACCCCCTCAAATAAAATGCATATTTTTGCATCATTTGCAAATGTGTCACCTAAAGTTGATACAGAAAGCATAGTTTTCTCTTCAAAAGCTCTAAGGCAGAATGAACAGAGAATAATTATTACCCGAACAGTTTTGGCTTGCTTTTAGCACCCCCTAGTGTCCGTTTGTCGAACCGAAAGCAAAATCTTTCTCCTTGCCGTGAGTTTGTCTTTTTAACACCTTAACTGCTGAGATGTCTCCTCAGCCTTCGTTAGTGTCCAGAGGAGTGCTTCATCAATAAATTAAACAAATCAGCTGTGTTCAGGATCAAGTCCCAGCTGACCGAACCAACAACTCTGATGTTGCAAGTAGAATATTTGGGTCACAGTGGGCGATATGGAGGCTGGGTGGCCTTCATTAACCCTGTAAAGCAGGGGAATTCAATTCCGAGATTGGAGTTGAATTTGAGTGGTTTCTCTTCTCTAACCCACTTGATTCAGTGGTTGAATCATCTGTGCAGCAGCTCATCAGGCTCTGCAGAAGCCTGTTAATCACCTGTTGATTGAAATCAGGTGCGTTGAAACAGAGTTAAAACTAGAACATGCTGGATACCGGCCCTCCAGGCCTGGAACTGAATACCCCGGCTGTAAAGGGTCATTTTAGCACGTACTGGCTCCAGAAAACGATTTAAAAATATGAAAAAGTTGCAAAGTATCCCTTCAGGTACAAAATGGAAATTAAACCACATGAATTAAATTATGTCCTTTGCAAGAATTGATGACAAACATCCTGTAATGGACTTTCTGTTTTGCTGGAAATAAAAATTAAGATTCTAAAAATCTGTTTTCTCTGTTCATAAACACATATTTACAATGTTCATGTGCAGCAGGTGTTGCGTTTGAAAAAAAAATTATTGAAAGAAAAAAACAACAGTACCTGCAGTTACCAAAATACAATTAACTTTTCTTCATTTTTCTAGGTAAATAACAACAACAAGACAACTAAACACAAAAACATACCAAAAAAAAGAAAAAAAGAGAGAGAGACCCCCCCCCCCCTTCCACCCAGATCAACACACCCAACAAACATATTACTGGAATATAACAATAACAGAAGTACATTTAAACAGGTAATACTTCTAGACTAGTAAAATAAGAGATAAAGGGTTGCCACTTGTCAAAAAATTTGGCCGTGCAACCTCTCAACGTATATTTAATTTTTTCAAGTTTTAAAAAAAACATGACATCTTTAAGCCACTGGGAAACAGTAGGGCACTTAGCAGACTTCCAATGCAACAATATTAGACGTCTCGCTAATAGGGATGTGAAGGCAATAATATCCTTTTGTGTGGAGTCCAATACAAGTGAGCAATCAGGAATCCTGAATACCGCAATCAGAGGACAAGGATGAAGAGTTACCCCAAGAACAGTTGACATAATAGCAAAATACCCTGTCCAAAAACCTTGTAGCTCAGGGCACAAAAAAACCCAACAAAAAACATGTGGCTAAGGTGACAAGGAGAACCCTGGCATTTATCACATTTATTTTCCACTTCTGGGTACAGTTCAGAAAGTCTAGACTTAGAGAAATGCACCCTATGAATAACCTTAAATTGAATAAGTCCAAGACGAGCGCAGGAGGTGGAAGATCGTACCCTTGCTATAGCCTATTCCCAAGACTCTTCATGTAATCAGATTCCTAGTTCTCCTTACCATATACATCTAAGCCTAACCTTAGAGTGGTTACTAAAAGACAGAATAACATCATAGAGTTTCGAAATGGTTCCTCTGTGATGAGGAATAAAAGATAACGTAGTCATCTAGGTCACGCTTCACATGAAAGCCAAAAAAGTTCCAAACTCCAGATCTGAAAGACGGAGGAGGAAGTTGAGGACCTGTCCACACGTAGCCGGGGATCTGCCAAAACGTAGATATTTTTCTACTTTTTGGCCTGTCATCCACACGAAAACGGAGTTTTTTCACACGATCTTTTTAAAAACTCCGGCCAAAGTGAAGATCTGCGTTTTCTCCGTTTTGGGTGTCTGCGTGTGGACGGACAAAACCGGAGTTTTAAGGTCCGCAACGTCACTTTCCGCGACAGAAAATGCTGACATCACGTGTGCGACCTGTGTTTACACTAGCCGACAGCATGGATGACCTCAGAGCTGCGCTCGCTTTATCAATTGTCCAAGCGCTTTTTGCCTGTTTGTTTTTGCAAGCGGAATTACTGCTCCTTGCGGAAGACCACAGACGAAAGACGAGGTTAAGAACGGGGGAAGTACTGCCGCCTACAGGTCTGGCATGTCCATAACAACGTATTTATCCGGGTACGTGTGGACAGAGTTTGTTTTTAAAACGCGGTGGTGTGGATGCAAGTTTTTGGAGGGGCGGATATTCGTTTTTAAAAAACCCCGGCTACGTGTGGACTAGGCCTAAATCTTGTAAAA